AAAAAAAAATTTTGTCATGTACTCTGAAATTTCATTGTTCATAATTTCATTCAATTTCATGTTGAAATTTCATTAAATAAGATTATTTCACTCATAAAATGTCGCCATTAAAGTGGAATCATTCCTACCTTTCATCACACGCTACTTATTATAATATAGATAAAAGTTATAGGTTTGCACATGACAGTAATTTAAAGTCAAAAAAAGTCCTTAATTGGTTTGGGATTGGTACGTTCAACCTACATACACAATCCTTTTTTTATCTGATAAAGTACACATGGCCACAGATCAAGTTACCCAAAACCAGCATAAATGGAACTCGCGCCTTGCGTATTATCATACTTAGGTAACCCGTCGGAGTCCCGCTTATACTGGATTTGAGTAACTTGATCTGTGCCGTGTGTACAACCGCACTCATATGACTAAACAAACAATTAGAGAGAAACTGGAGAAAAAAAGTTAATCGTACTCATTTTAATAAAAAGAGTTTTATTCATAAATTAAAAAATCAAATTTTACATCATTCATTTCTTTGTAAATTTGTATCCTGAGCGTTGACATTACTTTCGCCTGTAGATGATGTTGTTGCTGGGGTATAAATTACGTCATAAGACGTGATATTAAACAGGCCGCTTTCAGTCGAAATAAGAGTTTCATTGTCATTCACTGCAGCAGAACTAATAGCATTGTCGTTAAGACTCGAAGTATCCTGGATTATACTATTGGTTTGGTAATCTTGATTTATCGGTGACAAACTGTCAAGCTCAGTAAAAGCACTAGAACTTGTTGTAGGTATGGGACTGTAGTATGCAGGTTGTGTTTGACTTTCCATTTCCATAACTATATTTAACACTTTTGTTCTGAACATTAGTTTTTGATATCTAGTGAATCTTTTTAATGAAGGCTGCAGAGACTGAAAGAAAGCCAAATCCTCACTTTCTAGCTCCAGTTGATTAGACTTTAAGCATTCTAATAACTGTGCCTCAAATTCAGATGGTGCTTGCTTTTTAGATTTTATTTGTTTTTGTTTTGATGTTGGGTGAGAACTTTCTTGACGTGAAGTATCTGGTTGCGTGGACTCATTAGGTGTTTCTAAATTACTTTGTTCAGACATTTCTTCACAGAGTGACTCTTCTCCAGCAGTTTCCGTTGTACTGTCTAAGAAAGTCAAAATGTCATAGTAAGAATATTTCTTCTTCTTCTTCTTACTCCCAGAGCCGGATGGCTGATTTTTTTCAGATATCTTGTCTTTCTGGTAAGTGTCCCTTGCTGTTCGCCAGCGTTGTTGTATTTTCTTGTCTGAAATGACAAAATATAATAAGTAAGTGGCAAAAGTACACACAGTTTCAGATCAAGTTACCCAAAACCAGTACCAATAAACGGAACTTGCTAGGGCCTCGCCGGGCGCCGAGTCGTCTACGATAATAAACAACGCATGAGTCCTGTTTATACTGGTTTTGGGAAGCTTGATCTGTGGCCGTGTGTACAAATCTGATATTAGTTGGAAATTTAACTGCATTCGATTAAAGGCCCTCCTTAATTCACACATGTTGTCAACTTTACACTGTCTCATGAAGCATTAGATAAATCAAGCAATATATATATACCTATACAGAGTGGAAAAATAAGGCCGCAGTTGAAGGAAAAGTACCCTTAGGCGCAACGCAAACGGCGGGCCGGCGCAGGCCGGTCAATTTCGCCGCGAACGATAGCGCAAAGTGAATCTTATACTAGACGCAGACGGCGCGGCCGGGGCGGCGCGGCGCAGACATCGACGAAATAATTCATTTTTTACAAAAATAATTAGAACTTCATTTAAGGATTTTTGGAAAAACACCGGATTGAATCGGGCAATTTGTTTATTTGTTACAGTAAAATTTGCCATCATCAAAATTAAGGTGAAAACTTCCGGAAGTCACTAGCTGTAAGTTTTTAATTTGTTTTAACAAAAATTTGCTTTATTTGCATCTGTCAACCTTCATGAAGGAGGACATCTTGTAATGTAAATATTGCCTGAAATAAACGATATTTCATTATATTATATTATATATATTTATTAGATTCCTTTCATTTGCCGGAAATTTTACCATAGGGGTTAATTTATACAGAGAAGATTTCTTATAAAATATTTACAGCATAGTTATGTGTCTCAAATCTGCTAAAAGTGGCCACTTTTAGCAGATATGAGATACATAACTATACTTCGAACTTTTCATATGAAATCATAACTGCATAAATACCCCCCTATGATAAAATTTTCGGCAAATCATAGAAATCTAACGTAGCTATAGTACTGTAGTTAAAACGAATTAAAAACTTCTAGCGCTAGCTACTTCCGTGCCCTTTCACCTTAAGGGTATTTATTTTTCTTCTGAAGTAAAATTCGAGCGGTGCATGCTGTCTTATGTCTGATGTCAGCATTATTAATATATTATGTTATCATATTATTAATATATTGTTTTTGTTTTCAGATATTTGGCAACTGGTAATACATTCACTGATCTACACTATTCCTATGTGATTGGAATTGCAACAATTAGCGAAATAGTAAGACAAGTTTGTTACATAATATGGATTGAACTAAAGTCTGAATGTATTCCACAGCTTAATGGGATCAAATGGAAAGAAATCGCAGAGGGATTTCTCACATATACAAATTTTCCTAATTGCTTGGGTGCAATTGATGGAAAACATATAAGAGTGATTCGGCCGCCGCACAGTGGATCACTATATTTTAATTATAAGAAATATTATTCTGTAGTGCTCCTCGCAATGTGTGATGCTGATTATAATTTTACATATATTAATGTCGGTACCAGTGGAAGCAACGCCGATTCAACCATCTTTAGAAGGAGTCAATTGTATACGAAACTGGAAAGTAACACGTTGGGTATCCCTGACCCGCAAGAGTTGCCTATTATTTGCCCCGAAGTAGCTTATCCATCTAGTGTAAGAGCAAAGTTGCCGTTCGTGATAGTGGGAGACGAGGCATTTGGTTTATCATCACATGTGATGCGGCCTTATGCTCGTGATAATTTACCTTACAAAAAGAAAATATTTAATTACCGTCTGTCCAGAGCTAGAAGGTACATAGAATGCACTTTTGGAATTATGTCAAATAAATTTAGAATATTTCACAGATCCATGAATGTCAAGTTAGATCTAGCACAATTAATAGTCAAGACGGCATGTGTACTTCACAATTTCATAAGGAAACGGGATGGCTACAAGGTCAGCCATACATTTGTCACAAATGGTTTTACGGGACCACTACCCAGGCAGCAGACTGAAAGTAGTAATACGTCGGCAAGTAATATCAGAGATATATTTGCAGATTACTTTATCAATGAAGGAAAAGTCTCCTGGCAACACCTATATATAATTAATTAACTAAACTCAAAAGGTTTTAGAAGGTTTTTGATGTTATTTGTGAATTAAATAATTATGCTTATATTAATAAAGTAATGATGCTTGTATAAATAAAATAATGAACCAAACACATACCCGCCTCTTTTCTTTCCTCTTCGCTCAAATTTTCGTAGTTAGGTGCCAATTCCTTCAAAATATCTCTCCATGCAGCCTCCCTCGCGTCCCTGTGTTTGTATAATTCATTGCGTTTATCCCACAAAACGGGCCGCAGATGAACTTCAATGATTACTCGTTCTGTATCGATTTTCATTTCGGTAGTACAATACGGCGCGTGCGCCCCGCTCGACTCTAAAATGGGCACTGAAGTTGTAGGCAGCGCTTACGCATGCGGATACCCCGCACCGGGGTGACGCCCCGCACAGCGCCCCGCGTCCCGCGTGCGTTTATCACGCTTTACAATAGATACCTATATGAAATTGTTCTTTGCGGATGCTACGCATGCGGTCCAATCCCGCGTGCGTGAGCAAATCCGCGTGACACTAAAAGCGCCCTGAGACGGAGATGCTTCTGACACCAGTTAGTACGTTTCGCTCATTCGTCTACTGCGCACCTTTCCGTATTCGCTTGTGTTGATTTAGTACTGACAACTTTGGCTTCTCTTTTTGAACTTGGATTTTTGTGAATTTTTTTTATAGGATAAGGGTAACAAACGAGAACACAGTCCACCTGATGGTAAGTGGTCGCTGTGGCCCATAGACATTCACATCTATCCTCGATTACGAATCAAAACACAGATGTGCTATCACCCGTGAGGATCAAGATGGAAAGCCTCGTTTCCAGTAAAAAGAGTCTCCGGTTCTCTACACTCACCATACGAAACACAGCAGCTAAGCTGCTGTTTTACGCTGGTATTCTGTGAGAGCGTGGTCCTTCCCCGGTCGAGCCGACCCATTCGTGCTACAACTATTACCAGTAATATAGCTGCAGCATGGCTCTACCACGTTTATGTGAATGGGACTTGTTGATTACATACCGGCAACTTTGGCTTCTCTCTTTTGGAATTGGACTTTTGTGTTGGCATCCTTGTTATCTACCATGCCTACGCGCTACACTTAACCACAATAACCAAAATATTAAAAATTAACCACAATAACCAAAAAATGGTTACAGTTTGACCAAATTTCTAGGTTTTTCTTAAATGCCCGTAATTTCCAAACTGCATGGGACAGATTTTTTTTCTGATTTTTCTCATGATGGTTACAATCAATCTTGTCACCCCGTTTCGGCTTGAAGTTGAGTTCTGGGACAATCTGTATAAATGAAGTGTCTGTGTGTCATTAAGATACGAAATAACATTTTCAATTTTTTTCTGTTTATCTGTTCGGGCTTAGTTTCGGAATTGGCTGAATAGATTGTAATAAAACTTGACAAACAGATAGAGAGCAAAGCCAGGTGTGATTTAGGCTAAATTTTATTTGAAAAACTTGTTTTTTTTTTGTTGAGAAATCGTGAAATTGCTAAAATGTGGTCTTTGATGATTATCTTAAGTTTAAATAACGCCATATTTATAGATTCTACACAGGTGAAGCCGTGACGAGTTGCTAGTATAAAATAATATATTATATTTTCAGGTAGATGTGATATTAGTATTAGATAACGAGAGACTTTACAATGAACTAAAAAGAGATATGCCAAAGTTTGTGAAAGTTGTCTACTTACCGAAGAGTGGTGGGGTGAGTAACTCAGTTGTTTACTTATATATAACCATAAAAACATTCATAGTTAAAATATTTCAGTGATAAATTATTTAAATTCATTTTAAATGGTGATAAAACTTTGTCAACATATTTATAAGTTAAAAACGTTTATTTATCAAGATCATTTTTATTAGTAACAGAAAAAATACATTTACGAGTGTTGCACTGCTAATATTTACGTGAAACTTTTTTTATTCATGTTTTCAATTTTCGAATGTTAAATTTGATTATGTAGTGTATTCTCATGCGGATAAACAATTAAAAAAAATGAGGGGAACATAAGCATGGTCGTCATTTGAATTCGACGTTACTTAGTAACTCATATAACTACAACAGTGATTCACCATTATAGATATTATATTTTTCTAAAACGGCACTTAAAATTAGATAAATATGTATTTTAAAACGCCCGCGTGAACCGCATGTATTGTACAGCAACAGACTTAGTGGAGTGCGCTGGCACAAGTTTGCGCTGCCCCCTGCCCCGCAAGGCCCCCGTCGTTGCTATGTACAAGTACACTCGTTGCATAACTGTTGCAAACTCTCATTTAACTGTGCTTTTAATAAGAATTAACCTCTGCATCGTGACTATCAGAGCTCGATTAAATTAGTCGTAATCTATTAGCGTTATAAAATAATAACTTTTGTAACAATGAAACTTTTGGCGGGTAAAGCAATGATGCATGCGTCACGCATGCACTCTACTTGCGTGGCTCATGCGTGTCGCGTGCATGACGCGTGCATGACGCGTGCGTGTCGCGTGTATGACGCGTGCGTGTTGCGTGCATGACGCGTGCGTGTCGCGTGCATGATGCGTGTGGCGTGCAGGTGGCGGAGCGGTCGGCGGCGCAGCGCGCGGAGGGCCGCGACGCGCGCATCCGCGAGTACTTCTACGGGCGCCGCACGCCCTACTACCCGCACTCCTTCGACGTCAAGTACTCCGACCTCAAGATATACAAGGTACGTGTTCTGTGCGCTAGAGGGCGCGACGCGCGCATCCGCGAGTACTTCTACGGGCGCCGCACGCCCTACTACCCGCACTCCTTCGACGTCAAGTACTCCGACCTCAAGATATACAAGGTACGTGTTCTGTGCGCTAGAGGGCGCGACGCGCGCATCCGCGAGTACTTCTACGGGCGCCGCACGCCCTACTACCCGCACTCCTTCGACGTCAAGTACTCCGACCTCAAGATATACAAGGTACGTGTTCTGTGCGCTAGAGGGCGCGACGCGCGCATCCGCGAGTACTTCTACGGGCGCCGCACGCCCTACTACCCGCACTCCTTCGACGTCAAGTACTCCGACCTCAAGATATACAAGGTACGTGTTCTGTGCGCTAGAGGGCGCGACGCGCGCATCCGCGAGTACTTCTACGGGCGCCGCACGCCCTACTACCCGCACTCCTTCGACGTCAAGTACTCCGACCTCAAGATATACAAGGTACGTGTTCTGTGCGCTAGAGGGCGCGACGCGCGCATCCGCGAGTACTTCTACGGGCGCCGCACGCCCTACTACCCGCACTCCTTCGACGTCAAGTACTCCGACCTCAAGATATACAAGGTACGTGTTCTGTGCGCTAGAGGGCGCGACGCGCGCATCCGCGAGTACTTCTACGGGCGCCGCACGCCCTACTACCCGCACTCCTTCGACGTCAAGTACTCCGACCTCAAGATATACAAGGTACGTGTTCTGTGCGCTAGAGGGCGCGACGCGCGCATCCGCGAGTACTTCTACGGGCGCCGCACGCCCTACTACCCGCACTCCTTCGACGTCAAGTACTCCGACCTCAAGATATACAAGGTACGTGTTCTGTGCGCTAGAGGGCGCGACGCGCGCATCCGCGAGTACTTCTACGGGCGCCGCACGCCCTACTACCCGCACTCCTTCGACGTCAAGTACTCCGACCTCAAGATATACAAGGTACGTGTTCTGTGCGCTTACACCAGTCTTACCAACTCGAACTTTTCCAAATCCGTAAATTGGTATAAAAATTTCTGTAGAATTCCGTAGATGCTATTTCAAAATATCCGTATACCCTGCAGACTTATACATGATAGGCTACTCAAACTGACTAAGCCTAAAGTTCGAGTCACCCCCCAACTCATTTCAAGTCTTTACTTCCAATAAAATAAAGTAAAGTCATACTCTTTTTTTTTTAAATCTGGTAGTACATTAGACCTCGCCAATTTTAGACCAATTTCGGTACTACCAACATTTAGTAAAATATTTGAAAAAATAATTTTAGATCAGATGTTAAGTTTTTTTTTTTTGATAAATAAATTGCTTTATAAAATCAATTTAGTTTTACGAGCGGTCGCTCGACACCTGACGCCGGTGAACTTATTAAATACATTTTTGTGCTGGGGAGCGCTCAGAGAATGCTTTGCTAATATTTTGTGAATTTTTCAAGGCCTTCAACTGTGTTACATTAATCCGGAAGCTACAGCAATGTGGTGCTAAGAACATAGGGCTATATAACTCATTATTACTAAATACATATTTAAATAATTTAAACGCAGAAAGTTATTATCAATGGAAAAATTCCTTCCGGATCACCTAACTAGCGGCTGTTCCTCGGGGCTCCATTCTCGACCCATTCCTATTTCTAGTCTATATTAACGACTTACTTTCCCTTGTAGGGCATAATCAAGATATAGTAATATTTGCTGATGATACTTCATTGACTTTTAAACTTAGACGGCAATCATTGAAATATGACGAAGCGAATAATGCTATATCAAAGTTAGAAGCATTGGTTTAACATAGCATTGGTGCCACATAAGTTGATGACACGCCTATTGTGCCATGAGCCATGTGTAAAAATAATTATCTTTTTTATGCTTTTTTCACTTGTTTAGACCTACTTAAGTTTAGTTGACATCAAATATCAGTTACAAACGGAAGGATACTTGTTTTTAGTGGGTAACTACGTGTTTTTCTACGTGTTTTCTTTGAAATTGAGGGTAAGTGACTTTTTATCTTTATGCAGAGATTACAAACATTTTGTACTATTTTTTGTTTTATAAAAAAATAATTTATATAAGTAGGTACAGCTAAATCACCCTGGAAAGCCTTGGTTTTTATTAAATTAAATTTTCACCTAATAATAATATTTGTAAATATGAAACAATCAAGAACCTTAATTTGGAAAAAAATAAGGCTTATGATTCATTAATATTTACAAATGTTAAATATTATTTAATGTTATACAATTGTAAAAGTATAGTCTATTTGAAAACGTCTAATTAGTAAGAATAACAAAACAAGTGTTTTCAAAAGGAAACAAACGCCGGCGTTATACGGCGGCGAATTGACAAAAGACTATTTATTAGCGAACTTCTTTTATGCATGAACGGTTTCAAACTGTTTCATGCAAAAATAAACCTTATATGTACCATATCACAAGAGCATATGGTACTTCGTAGGTCTATATATATATGGCCATATGATAGTAATAAGACGGCAGTTCAACCATTTTAAGCAAAATTAAACAATAACACAAACGCATTGTTTTTTTTTTTGTAACAGGAGACTTGTTTTCCAGAAATTTATTTACAACTTGAGTTTGTGAGCGATCGCAATGAGTGCTATTATTTGTTACTTATTAGACTATTTTTCCACAACAAGATTGAAAACCCACAAAGTAAAAAGAGTACCATGTACAAGTTAAAAAAGGTTGTCAACCCCTAAAAATTTCAAATTTTCAAAATATCTAAAAGCGAAGTCGCAGGCATGAACTACTTGGAAAATAATGAATATTTTGTTCTGAATAAATTTTCCAAAAACGCAATTTGAGCGAGTTATAACGATTTATAAAAAGACACGACTCGTGTGTCATACGTCACACATAAAAGTAATCGATGGCACGCCATCCGCACTGAATCGGTTAAATTATTAAGTAGGTACCATTTCATTTCTATTTTCTTATACAAAATCAAAGATAACGATGAAATAGGGTTTATAATTGTGTAAGTGAGCACTGGGTACCCATTGAGGTACGTTTATTAATTTCAATATAATTTTTGTAGTAAAGATTTGCTTGTTGCGTCGAGGTACAATGGATTGTGAAATTGTATTAAAAATGACAGCCATAACTTCTAAATTCCATATGAAGGCTATTCGTAGGGATAACTAAACTTATAAATAAAATAAACGTTGGCAATATCGTAACGGTTTAACGGTCTGTGGAATTGATTAGTGCTTCAAGGACGTTACGACGCACTAAGCATTTGTTTTGGCGAGATTGATTATTAATTTTAGTTTATGAGACAGTTCCGTGTTGACTATAACATGCGCGTAAGCGACAGTTTAATCGTTTTGTTTATTAAATTCTTGTTGTTATTACTTTGTTTTTATTCTTGTTGTTACGTTTTGTGTTTGTCGGTCCAAGGCTTGTTGAATAATCAAATGTTAACATCACAACTCCAGACACTTGTCAAGCGCAGCACTGGCAAGCTCACAAAGAGTTCAAAGGCATGTATGCGTTGCGTATGTGAAGGTTTATACGTGGTAGAGTCACACTGCAGTTATGTTATGGTTGTAACGCAAATAGGTCGGCCTGATCGGGAAAGGACCACGCTCTCATACAATAAAGTAGCAGTTGAATGCTGCTGTGTTTTGTATGATGAGTGTAGAGAACCGGAGACCTTTTTCACTAGAAACTAGAGATTTCATTTTAGCCCCCAGGGGTGATAACGCATCTGCATTTCGACTCCAAATGGGGGATAAGTGTGGATATGTATGGGTCACGGCATCCACTTAGCATTAGGTGGCCACTCATAGTAGGTGATGGCGTGTGCAGGTGGGCGCGCCGTCGCTGCCGGACTCGTGCATGCCGCTGGGCATGCGCGCGGCCGAGGCGCTCACCAAGCTGGTGGGCGTGGCGCCCGCGCCCGCGCTGCAGCACCGCCTGCTGGCCGTCTCCTTCGCGCACGAGCCCGACGACCACGTGCCGCACTGCAACCTCGCCGGCTTCGTCTGCGTGTGAGTGCACACACACGCGCGCGCACACGCACACACGCACGCACACACTAACACACGCACACACAAAATCTCGCAGTGTATGTATATACACAAAACAATATCTCATTGCCGTATTCTTTAATTTTTTCACATTTTTAACATTTTTTAGTTCTTCTACTTTAAAAATATACGTAGTTTGCTTTATCCATTTCTACCACACTCAACGGCAAACATCGTCATTAAAAAAAACTATCAGTGTTAAAAAAATTGAAATAGGTTTAATTTACTCTTGTTTTTCTCCCATCCGTTACAATTTAATTCCTATAAAATATACAAGTTGTGAAGGGTTTTCATTGATTTGTTATCAGGAAGATGCTGATTCCCATTTACAATTTCGGATTCGCCCTGTCGCCTCTTACTACACTCATGGGGTAACATACTCTAGCGGATTTACTTAAACCACTTCGCCCATTTTTATCTAAAATCAGACCTAAATATGTAAAAGAACTCAATTAATGAAAAATGTCCCACTGGGTTTCTTGCTAATTCTTCCCAGGGCAAAGGATTTCTCCAAACTAGTGAGAAAAGTAAAAATAGTATTCAACAAGTATTCTACCTAGTCAAGTCATAAATTCTGTCACATGTTTAATATAAAATAATTGAAACAAGTTTATTCATTATGTAACCATTTATATACCAAAATGAACTTAACAAAACATAGATTCTTATGACACTAAAATTTATTCAAAATTACCTCCGTGATTTTGAATGCAGGCCTTCAATCTGCGCGGCCAGTCGTCTATCGCAGCACGAACGAGGTCCATGTCAATATTGGCGGCTGCCTTAATCAAGAATGTCTTGAGTGACTCCAAATTGGGATGAGGCTTTGAGCACGCCTTTTCCTCCAAGTGTTGCCATATCTTGTAATCTAACGGATTCAAATCTGGACTGGAGGAGGGCCAGTCTTCGTGCCGGATGAAGTCGATTTCACGCGCCGCCAGCCAGTCTTGTGTGCTCTTCGCTCTATGAGCTGGCGCCAAATCTTGTTGGAATACCCAGTGCCTGTTATTGAACATGGTATGAGAAACAGGTTCCACAAGATTCGTCAGGACTGTATTTTAATACACAACTGCATTCGTTTTTACACTTTTCTCATAAAAATGTACCTCTGTTAAGCCCCAATAAGAAACTCCCAACCATACCATGAGCGAAGATGGAAAATTACCTCGTTGGTCACGCGTTATACGGTTGCTCGCTTCTTCACTACTGTGTGCGTACACCTGATCATTTTGTTTGTTGTAGCTCTCTTCTACGGTAAAAATTTTTTCATCCGAAAAAAGAACCGATATTTTTTCCCGCGTACCGCTTCAACAAAGCGCGGCATCTCTTCAGTCTCAGGTCCATTAGACAAGCATTCAAACGATGTCCTGTTTTTCTTCGATATGCCCGAAGCCCTAAGTCTTCATTTAACACCCTTTTCACCGTGGTTCTGCTTAACCCCATCTGAAGGGCCAAAAGTTTCTGCTTACGTTTGGGATTTCTTTGAATTCGCGCCTTCAGAGCTTTTATCACTGCTGGGAGTCCTAACAGACCGAGGGCGACCACTTCTTGACCTGTCATCTACACTAGAGTCTTCATTGTATCGTTTGATGGTACGATAAATGAATCTTTTGGTTATATTCAAATTTTTCAGTATGTAAAAGATTTGAATTGGCGCGTAACCGCAACGATGCAACGCAATAAATGCAACACGGTCTTCTTTAAGCGTCCACTCCATATTTAAAAATGAGTAAAATTCTAAAAAGTATACAGTTTTATTTTCATGAACAATTCGAAATTCGAATTCAATAAACTTTTTTGTGGCCAGCATTCTAAAAGAAAAGTTTTTACTGTGTGAAAATACTTTTAATATATTGACGTTTGAAGTTTGAAAATGGTTTTCATCGTCATAATCATCATCATCATCATCATCATCATTACAACCCTTCACAAGTCCATTGCTGAATATAGGCCTCCTCCAAGGAAGGTTAGGTTCCTGTGATTTTTATAACTAGTATTAATTTAATTGTAGGTACCATTTATTTATTTATTTATTTATTTAAAAGTAAATTAACAGTCTATATACGTCCCACTGCTGGGCACAGACCTCTCATTTCTGAGTTTTAGAGCAAGGAAATGCCTACCGCGACTACTACTACCCATCCAGTGTGTGTTTCACAGACTTCACATCTTCGGAAACGTTTTCACATTCCTCATACATGTAGGTTTTCTTACGATGTTTACATGATTACGATGTTGTTATATCCAATAAAACACCGTAATTTAGGTAAATACGTGTATTGTGCTAGGTAGCAAAACTAATGACAAACTGGTTGACTTAACTGACATTATTTCTTAACAACGTTATGCAAGTACCCACCTTCATAACTATTTATAACAATCTATGATATAACATACCTTTCCCCCAAGTATGTGCATACAATATTCATTACTTACAAACTCAACAACCAACTTCTAATACATCATCTATATAAACTAAATATATATTTCTATTATAATCAGTAAACTTAAGCTATAAAATTATTACTAGGTCTCTCATATGGTGACTTAGAATGAACATTCATTTTATTCCTAATTTTTCCCCCAGAATAAGTTACTTCCATATTAGTTGGTATACCTAACATTTCCGCCCATTTCTCCTGACTAGGTATTTCAATAATTTCTTCTCTTACCTCATTATCTGTCTTATCTTTTTCTAAGTTATAGCCAGTAATTTCCTCTGCTAAGTCATTGTCCATTATTTCACTATTATCTGTGATATCTTGCTTCTTGGACATCTCTTCATCCTCTCTCCGGGTTATCGCACTCATTTCAGATTGTCTTCTGTTAATTAATTGATCAATATGTCTATTTATCAAAGATCCATCTTCTGTAGTAATCTCATAACTAGATGGTCTATTTCTATTTACTATAGTTCCTGGTAACCATCTTGGCCCATTACCATAATTCCGATACATAACATTCTGGCCTGTCTCTGATTCCCTATTAATTTTTTGAGCGTTACTAATAATTTGTTGTGTTCTTTTTCGTTGCTGGCGATTATCAGGATGTAGTGTATCCAGCAAAGTACGTAGGCGCCTATTCATTAAAAGTTCCGCTGGACTCTTTTTAGTTGCTGTACAAGGTGTAACACGTAAACCTAGTAAAATGTTAGGAAGTTTGATATCCCATGGGTTGTCATCCATCATTCGTAGTTTATCCTTAATGGTTTGGACCATCCTTTCAGCTAAACCATTAGTAGCCGGGTGATAAGGTGCTGTAGTGACGTGTTTAATTTTGTTCGCTTCAAGAAATATTTTCATTTCTGTCGATACAAATGCTGTTCCATTATCTGAAACTAAAGTTTCACACAATCCATGTGTTGCAAACATATTCCTTAAATGTCGAATAACTGTTCCAGAAGTCATATTGTTTACAATAAAAACCTCAGGCCATCTCGAATAGGCATCGACGACAATCAGAAATGTCTTGTTTTGAAAAGGTCCGGCAAAGTCTACATTTATTCGAGACCATGGTTTAGTTGGTGTAATCCATTCACAGCTTGTTTTAGGGGGCATGTGCCTGTTTTCTAAACATTTTGAGCATTCCCCTACTAAAACTTCAATATCATGATTCAATTGCGGCCACCACACGTAACTTCTGGCCAATGCCTTTGTTTGCACGACCCCAGCGTGTGTCTTATGTAAGGCACCTAGGCAAGGCTCACGCAACGATGGTGGCACCACTACGCGACAACCAAATAAAATACATTCTTCATGAAATGAGAGTTCAGTACGATGTAACCAATACGGACGCAGCTCACTGTCCGTGACTTTGTCAGGCCAACCGCTTAGTACGTAATGACTTACTCGCGATAAAGTTCGCTCTCTCTTCGTTGCCGATGCTATGAGATCAACATCCACTGGAAAATCAGCAGGCGTCTCCGCCATAAGCAAAACATCACAATGCTGTTGTTCTGGTTGATCTGGAACTGGCTGTGGCCATCGACTTAAACCATCCGCATTTCCAATTAGTCTACCTGGCTTATAAACAATATTGTAGTTGTGTGACGTGAGTATTAACGCAATTCTAGTTAACCGAGGTGACAAGATCGCTGGCATTGGCTTTTGAGGATCAAATATACCAAGCAATGGCTTGTGGTCTGTAACTATTGTGAAAGGCCTTCCCATCAAATAATTGTGAAATTTAACTACCCCAAAAATGATAGCAGTGGCCTCTTTATCCAATTGGGAATAACGCCTCTCATGCGCATGTAAAGTCCTAGAGCCCATCGCAACAGGTCGCTCTGTTCCGTCCTCCATTATGTGTGATAATACAGCGCCGACGCCGTACTCAGAGCTATCACAGGTAAGAACCAATGGCTTATTAAGATCGTAATGAACAAGAGTCAGCTCTGAAGAAAGTAAACGCTTGGCGGTATCGAAACTATTTTGTTCCCGGTCAGTCCATTGCCACATTTGTGACTTATCGAGTAATCTATGTAGAGGTTCAAGAATAGTTGCTTTGTGAGGTATGAACCTCTCGTAAAAGTTATAGAGGCCTAAAAATGCTTGTAACTGCTGTATATTTTTAGGTTCCGAAGTTTTAAGAATCGATTCAACTTTGCTCTGAGCTGGATGAATACCATCCGCATCGATCACAAAACCTAAAAACTCCACGCGTCTTTTAGCAAATTTACATTTGTCTTTATTAAGACGCAATCCTGCTCTTTCAATGCGATCCAGTACTATTTCAAGACGTTGAGTCATTTCTGTCAATGTGCGGCCGCTAATGATGATGTCATCAATCAGCACGGCTACACCTGGTATGCCTGCTAGCAGTGCTGTCATCAAGCGTTGAAATATTCCCGGACAGGCCTTCACGCCGAATGCCAATCTGTGTACGGTGTACAATCCTTTGCATGTATTCAAAGTTAAAAACTTCGCTGTGGCGTCTGCGACCACCACTTGCGTATATGCTCTGTCTAAATCAAGTGTCGTGTAATAAGAACCACCTGTAATAACTGCAAAGACTTCACTAGCCGTGGGCATTGGGTACGTATCTGACTCAGTAGCTTGATTTACCGTACTTCGATAGTCTCCGCAAAGTCGTATGTCTCCATTTTTTTTTACTATAGGAACTACTGGTGTCGCCCATTCTGAAAAAGATATGGGGCGAAGTACCCCCTCCCCAACTAAACGATCGATTTCCTTTTCAATCCTTTCTTTTAACGCAAAAGGCACTGGTCGAGCTTTTAAAAATTTAGGAACGGTATTAGGCTTAATTTGTATGTTTACAGGGTTCCCTCTATATGTACCAAGCCCTTCTCTGAAAACAGTATTATATTTATTAAGTACTTTATCAATATCTGTCAAATCAATGTCAATCATATGAATAGTATTTAAAGTAATATCCAATGCTTTAAACCAGTTTCGACCTAATAGATTTGGGCCCGTGCCCTTAGCTATAACAACATTCAAATTACACTTAATGTCTTTAAATTGCACTTGTACTGTAGCCTGTCCCATTACTTGTACCGGAGAGTTGTTCCACGTACGTAACTTGTTAGGCATTATGTCTAGTATAGTTCGAGGGTGTAATTGCATCCATGTGTTTTCATTCAAGATTGAGAAAGCAGATCCAGAGTCCACCTCCATGATCACTGGCACACCATCCAATAGAAGTTTTATTCTATACGCCGGTACCCGTGAAGTCAAACTGTCCAAATTATAAATGCCGTTAAGATGTGTGTCTAACTCTTGTGTATAATTTATATTGCCCTTACGGCTTTTCTTTTTAGCTGAGCAAATTTTTTCAACATGTCCCTTTTTCTTGCAAAAATTACAAACAGCATTTATGAAACGACACACACCACCATGACGATCGCTACATCGGTAACAAAATATAATATTAGTTTGCGATTTCACGGCATTGACATCCATCGGTTCGCATGATGATGATGTTACCGCTGCAGTAGTTGAAAATAAATCTCTGGAGACAGGAAAGTTAGTGCTGGTCACACTTTGCATCATCCGGACATCCCTCACTGCACTTTCAGATGATAGCATGGCATCCACCACATCCGAATACTGTAAATTGTCTTTTTTCAACAATTCATACTGTAACTTCTTATCACTCATACCGCACACAAGTCTGTCACGTAGCATGCGTTCCAAGTCCGTAAAATTGCACCCTGCACTTATTTTTCTAATATGTGCGATATATTCTGATACTGATTCATTTTCTTTTTGATCGTGTTTATAAAATTGAAAAGACACTGAAATCTCGTTTGGTTTCGGACTATAATGCTTCGTAAGAATCGTTACAATTTCCGCGAATGTCACATCACTAGATTTTCTAGGTGTAATTAATGCCAAAACAGTCTCATATACATTTGCACCACAAACTGTGTAAAAATTCGCCCTTTGAACCGCGTCCGAGACGATTCCGTTTGCCTCAAAACAGTACTTCAGTCGTTCTATATAATTGTCCCAATTATCACTTTGTAAATGAAATTCGTGAAAATTCACTGATTTACGTTCCATTGTTCCACTTTTTATACTTCGTCGCCACTGTTATATCCAATAAAACACCGTAATTTAGGTAAATACGTGTATTGTGCTAGGTAGCAAAACTAATGACAAACTGGTTGACTTAACTGACATTATTTCTTAACAACGTTATGCAAGTACCCACCTTCATAACTATTTATAACAATCTATGATATAACAGATGTAAATCAGCACTTAAAATTACAATTAACTTCGTATTAATTAATTTTTTTTTAGAATAATAGTGACAATCAAGCACGACAAGTCCACCTGATGGCTGTTACCCATAGACATGTAAATTTATCCTCGAAGAATCAAAACGTAGATGTGCATTGTCTTCCCTGAGAACAGATGGAATGCCTCGTTTCCAGTAAAAAGTGTCTCTTCCGGTACTCTACACCATACGAAACAAAGCTTTTATTTTGCGTTGGTACTCTGTGAGGGCGTGGTTCTAACCCGGTGGAGCCGACCCATTCGTACTACAACCATAATATTTGTACAGCAAGGCTTCACCATGTATTATTAAGGCAACCTAACTTTAGCAAATTTATCATTTTATGTTATACAGGACGGCAGTGGACCCTGAGAGGCAGGTGATGACGATCCTGTCTCCGCAGCCTCGGCCGCTACCCAACACTGTGCTGCTGCTCTCCGAGCTCCAGTACATGGACAATCACTAGCACTACACTGCACTCGCATACCGCCACTACTGATGTGTTCTCAGTACATCTGACTTCATCACCATTCGAACAGTGATTGTGCTGTGTTGTGAGATTGTGCAAACTTGTGCAGTGCAACTTTTAAACTCGTGAACAGTGAATTAATATGTAGAAGAATGTTGTGTCGAATACTGTAACAAATCCTGGCAGTTGTTTCTACGGTTTTTAATTTCTTTATTAGCCCGTGAAGTCTACTGCTAAACATGAGCCTCTCCTGTTGTAGGAAGTATTCCCAACTTGAATAGTATGGACAAATGATATTCTAATGTTTACGCAAAAAAACACATTTCAATGAAAATATTTTTTACAGATTTTATCGCGTATATTAAGTTATATTCCCGACGTTTCAAGTACTTCACAGCATCCATAGTAGCTGTGGTTAACTACGACAATGGGACATGGAACACCTGTCATTTTTAAAATAAAATTAAACATGATAAAATCCCTTAAGAGCCCAGTCTTTCAGAGCAAAACAGAAAAATCGCATTCGGGTGACACATTTACACACCCCCTTGCCCCGCCACTTTATGTGCCGCCACCGCAGTTATCTTTCTGACCGTAACTTGGAAAGTTGCTCTACTAAGATTTTCCAGTATCAATTTATCTAATATACAGGATTATTGATAATTAGCTAACAAATTTTCACATACAGATTTTTTACCTCATATCTAACTATTTATGTTCCATGCTTTTTTTACAAAATTTATCACACAAAAAAACTAAGTTTATATAATTTTTGTTGTTTTGTTGAAAAGGTTCTTAAAAGATAATCATCAAGAACCTTTATAACATATAGTCGTAATATTAATTATTTATATAAATCTGGCAACTGCTAAGATGAGTCGTGCACTGAGGGTTTCGTAATAAGTCGATGACACTATCAAAAATCTGTCAAGTACGTTCAAGTAGTTTTAAATACTAAAATAGATTAAAAGAAAACTAAAAATAATTTCTATATAAGTACAAACAGTCCACTATCACACATATTTATAGTCTTTCAATAAAGTATATGTAACTTAGTATAGCATTTACCTATATGCATAAATTACTATTCTTGTACAGCAGCATCGACAAACGACTTAGACGTGAGATTTATTTAGATTTTTTTTTATTTATTCTCAATGGCTTGAATGATGTATGGCGGGTCTTTAATTGGCATTGAGCGTTCAAGGCGAGAATCAATTAGCTTAGGAAGCAGACAATTCAAATAAAATTTAGACAATGGGCCTACCATTTTGTCCTGCCAGAACGCAGGGTCTCTCTTAACATATTCTATTTTCGTTGAATGCTCCTCTCCAGTCCATATGGAAAATAAGCACATATCCATCTCCGTAATGTTTAACTGACCCTGAATTTGGAAATAATAATCGTAGTTTTTGTCAACCGAAAAAGTGTTATTTTTTGCATTGTACTTCCAAAATTTTATTTTCTTCGCTTTAACAGCTTCTTCAGATTGCATATTTTTTGCGGAAAATGGACATTTTATTTCTATTAATCCCATTTTTCCCCTCTTTATTTTTATAAATACCATCAGGACTCGCTCCTTAAAATTGTAGTGTTTTATGTATATATAGACCGCAGCGAGTAATTGTAATACTTTCTTCCCGAGATAACTGAGCCAATGCTGTTTGTTCATTAGCTTTGCCATTATTTATCGATGGAACATTAGATATGATTTGCGGTTTCACAATAGATCTCACTAACGTAGCGCAGCTGATGTTTTCTTTCCGTTTACATATCTTGCAAAATATAGACGCGGTTAATCGATTTTTTCTGTTTTCTAACCATTCTTGACTGGAACTTTGATCTATCGTATGTATCTGTAGATCGTCTCTTTGTTGGTCAGAAAGTTCCATTTGCTTAAGAAATTCACTTTTTGACATCTGAAAATCTTCATCAGTCATATCTGGTCTTTGTGCTTTTTGCAAGTCCATAATCTGGAACATCCATATTTCTACGAAATATTTTTCGAAAAGGTCTTTTGTACACTCTTCTTTTCAGTTTTTGTGTCTCATATGAATTCGTATATTTACCAGTGGGTATGCCAAATATGCGTTTATGGATTGTATATATTGGCATTTTCGTGTTAAAAGAAATTGCTGCAGCCATACACCTTTCTTGGTATGAATTTCTTTGTGTGTAATTAATTCGTTTGCCTCCTACATATTTAGCGATCACCGAATTGAATGTCTCAGCAGGATTGCTATCAACATCAAAAACGAGACAATTTGACTTATTTTTCTCCACAAAACTGTGTTCGTTAAGTCAAGTGCCGTATTACGATCAGTTTTGTCAGTCGCGGGGCATATAGCATCATAGCAGTTAAAGTGCCTACCAAAAGAATGGTATAATGCATTCAAAATATCTGATCGAAGTTTGATCATTTTCTGATTGTCAGACACTACTTCGCGTTTCCGTAGCTTAATAGCCCGCACCGTATATATGCGTAATTTCATAATTTTGAAGTCCGTTAAAAGTTTCTTTGATTGAATAGGTATATCTGTATCCTTAGTAAGTGCTCTCAACTTGTTACATAGATTTTCTTAGAAGATGGTTTCTACACTCGATCTTCTGAACCTTGCAGTTTTTATAGGGATTGCTATCTAATATTTTTTTATAAGTACTTGAATCGCCATCTGATATTAATCTAGCATAAATTAATCCATGACTTTCAAGTGAGGATTTAAACCCTTCAACGAGTGTTGTTGACTCCATACTGGAAGAACTGCCAGAAAAGTTCTTGTAGCATATGTGGTTTGCTGGTTCAGTTTTTTTATTTTCAGCTTTTGCGCATACAATACAGTACTTATTCTTCACGCCAAGGTACAGTATTTTACCAGTATATGCACCTTTATTGCTGCTGCTCCCGATGATGCTGAATAATTATTACGGAATGATCTTTTTGACCAACATCCGTCAGCTATCACGTCAATCATTGGTGTGCCTTCACTGTCTACATTTCCAATTTCTTTTGCATGTTTAGCCTCCTCGACGCCAGCCTTGATCATTTCTTCCACTGTCGTTATATTGAACCATTCATAAACTTTTTGCTTGTTTGAGCGTGTAAATTTATTTGACATACTAGGTATATCGGTATTACCTGATAATTTATTCAAATTGCTTAACCCACAGCCAATACTAATAGTACCTGCAACAACTCCGTGATTCACATCACAAGTAGATGGATCTTCAGTGCTTATGTCGAACTCTGAATTGAAGAAGAAGAGTTTACACTTAAAACGTAATTTTGATACAAAATCTTTTCGTCGCTCACCGATACATTTCAGATTTGTATATCTGCATCCAAAAGCATTATGATCAGCAATTTTCCCTAAAATTTCTAAAAAATATCTGATCGATAAGATTCTTCGTCCGTCTAGGCAAAAAAGATCGTCATCATTGGTCATTTCTGTATAATTTTCAATTTGTAGCTGGTGGTTTTTACTAACAGTTATAAGCTCCTGACGTTTCCTTGCTGAAATTCGGCGAAAGGGAAAAGCTTCCTCAAACTTACGTTTCCGTCTTTCCTTCTTATTCGTCATATCTTGACGGTCAGGCTTTGTTACAGACTATATTTGTTAAAGTAGTTCGTAAAAGTCTACTTTCGTCATGTCCTGATAAACGGTGTTCGTCAATTTCAATGTTACTGTACTAACATCTGACAATGGTTGGCGAGAACCAGCAGCGGACCTGGGTACAAATATGCAACTCATTTATAAACAATTTTTAAAAGTACCTAATTATAACGCAACCTAATATTTAACCAAGTGCTCACACATGCACGTTGTTAACTATTGTACTATGAAACACAAAAAAAAAACCTTACCTTTGAATTCAATTTCTGTTCATTACTTGAACGTTTGATTTCAATTTTCTTTTTCTAGTACATTTTTTGTAGTATATCTTTTACGTTTATGGTACATATCGAGATTAAAAGTTATAAAACAAATACAAAATGATTTATAAGCCCTAAAAGAATTGTATACAAAAAATAATAAGGTAGAGCAACTTTCAATTCGTAACAATGTACAACCAAGGTTAGGGAAAGAGAAAGAAAGAGCAATGTTAGAGCGAGAGAATGCACAAAAATTTAGCACAGACAAGATGTCTGAACGCTACAGCCGCTCTTTATAGCATAAATAGTTTCAGCTATTGCTATGAACCGAATAGTTTTTTATGATGTGAAAACAGCGAAATTTGACCAAATTGAGACCTCTTATTTAAGACAGTGAAAGATATTTAGAAAAAAAGAAACAGCGCATTTTTGAGATGAAGATATAAATGCGCTGAATAGATTTCGCCTTTTTATTATTGACTGCCTTATAATGGTACACGAACAAAGCTCGAAATTGCGTTGGGTGCGAGAGAGCTCTATTTACCGTTTGATTTATCTAACATAGACCACATAGATGAACCAAAAAAAAATATGTAGCAATTACTTATAATCTGGGTATTTATGTGTTATCAAAATATTTTACTCTGAAACAATAATTTGCTGTAAAAAAAATTCAGTGGCGCTAGTGATTCGATGCGAATCAACTTTAAAAGACTGTAGCCTTAAAGTTTTATTTAATATGTAGTGTTTGCGTAAACATTAGAAATCATTATGAATTAATTGCTTTGATGATAAAACAAAACTCTTCAATTAAGGCATAGATGAAATATTTTGTAATTTTATATAGACTGTCCGACGGACCTTGTTAACTTATTGTACAAAGATTGTAAATAATTAAAAAGACGATTTTTTTTAAATTGTGTTTTACTGTCCACATTTTAGAGCAAGGCATATTTTGTGTTATTTAATAAATAACGCATAAAATTTACAGCTATACTGTTGGCCACAGGTCTCCTTTAAATTTCTGAGGGTTTTATTGCAAAGAAGTATCCGCCGCGCTGCCCCAATGCGCGTTGGCGGACTTCACATGTCTTCGAAATATTTTTTTATTTCTCAGACATGCAGCGTTCCTCACGATGTTTTCATTCACCGTCGAGCACTTAAAATTGCAATTAACCAATTTCATTGGTGCCGGCGGAGATCGAATAAATATATATATATACTACTACTAAAATAATAATATAAATAATACAAGAGCAAAATCTATTATTTTCAAATATGTTTATTTAAGTGGAGGTAGACAGTAAACAAATAGTGTTTCAAGCATTATATACAAACACAAGTATTAGAAACACAATAAATACAAATAAATATGTGATGTGATGGTAATATGAAATCATTACTTCTTTAATTCCTAGAAAAAAAAATTGAGATTTTATAACATTTGACAATTATTATTTGGGAGGAAGGAATTACAAATACAAAATACATCAGGATAATAGATATCAGCACCAACAGTCGTGAAAGCACCCAGTCAGCACCAACAGTCGTGAAAGCACCCAGTAAACTTGAACTATCTCCTTAACCATGTCCCGTGAGTCATATAATGAACATTTCATTTGTTTAACTATTGTGTCTTTTTCGCGGACAAGGAAGTTGTTCATAATTCTTCTATAACTTCTCAAGAGGATTTTAATTCTGATAACACTGCCTGTAAATTCAGAATACACTTCGTGATTGACATCATTCTTCAGCTCCATCTTGAAAACACCATCACTTCAGGCAAAGTCCATAATATTGTCCCCATTAAAAAAATTACTCCCAACTAATTTTGCTGCCTGTTCTTGCTGGGTGTTTCTTTGTCTCCGTGACTATCTTCATTGACTTTTCCGATATGTGATTGAGCAAACTTGATGGCTATCCGCATCGCATCCTGCACCATCTGCTCGCAAGTAATGAGGCTCACCTGCAAATTAGCAAATAAAAGATATTAAATAAAAAAAAAAACAATAAACTAAAGTGGCAACGGACATACAGTCCACCTGATGGTAAGTTGCTACTGCAGTCCGTGGACACCTGCAGCCGACTTTAAACAAGGAAGGCTACAGTTGCGTTGTCACCTGTGAGGACTAAGGTGGAATGTCTCACAGCATGTAGTTAGTAGCGACCTATCAAGGGACGGGTAAGTTTATTTGTCACTTAAATTTTATAAAAGAATTCCATTTTCCTTTTTTTGTTCTTAATTCAATCGCATAATCATTTTAATTATCCATTTATTTACTTACTAAAATATATTAGTACATATACAGAAAGTACAATGAGATAATTACGTGACATAAGCCTAAGAAATGATGGGTTCAGTTTTACACTTAACATCAGTATTTAATTTTTGAACTCATTTTTATTAATTAAATTTTATATTGTTATAAATACAGTGTTATTTTTGCAATAACCGGCTAAATTTGCGGAAAAGGTTCAGAAACAGAAACTTTTTTATTTAATATAGATTATAAGTAATACTTATTGAAAGTCACTCTTTTATTTAATTACCACTGGTTCGAAAGAAACCTTTGTCCTGGGGAAAATCCAGCAAGAAACCCAGCGGGACTTTTTTTTAAATAACAGCTTACAATCATGTATGTTACACAATTAACCACACAAAACGATCACCTCATTCCCAGGGATTATTATCATCCATAAATTCCTTAATATTATAATAACCCTTTTTATACAAAATAAGTACAGAATAAGTAATATAGACAAATGGTGAAGAAAAATTAAAAAATATCTCAAACATTTTGTCCTTTATATCTTTTAAATTCAAAATGCGTGGTAATGCGTTATGTTAACTGATTATCATTCATAAATATCTAACGCCTACTATTTTACTACGCACGCACACATTCGTAAGGGTCGCTCGGTCGGCAAAAACTTTGTGACTTGAATCGTACACAGAGGAGCGCGCGTACGTGTAGTTGTTGCCCATAAATCACATTCAATTTGGGATAATTTCAAATAAAAGTAGAAGCCTTATTTACTCGGATTTTCAAAAACTGCAAAAACGGTACATCATTATTTACATATTTCAACGTATGTTTAAAATTTGGCTACTCTGAAAAATAACCCTGAATATAAGAACGAAAATACTTTTTCACTAAGAAGAAAATATATATTATAAGAATATTATTTATTATTTTCTATATTTAAGAATTTTTTTTATTATTACTTATAATACATTTATGGCCAAATACTCAAAGCTATTCAATTTTTAAAGTTAAGTCTCGTGCTATCAACATGCTTTGACTTAAAGTGAACTTTAGACTGCACAAGACTTAACGGCATCTTAAAATTGAGTAGTGTTAGAGTATTTGGGCATTAGTGTTTTTGTGTATTCAAATTCAATTTTACAGGGTTATATATTAATATAGTAGTTATTAAACTAGCGATCCGCCCCGGCATCGCACGGGTGATTTTTGAATTACGACAACAGCGCCACCTAAGTGAAGCGCCAAATGTGAATCTAAACCATCAACGGACCCATTCAAACCCACCCAAAAAAATTAATCATAATAACTTGAGTAGGCGTGTAGGCCGTGTAGTGGCGGTTAAGAATATCCACTACCCCGTGTCTTCCCGTGGGTGTCGTAAAAGGCGACAAAGGGAGGCAGGCAGGAGATGGGCAGCAGCATCTTCCTGATATTAGTCAAAATAACAATAAAAAAAAACTGAGGTTGCCAACCCGCTCGCCAAGCGTGGCAACTATGGCAATATACCCCCCATGAGCAACGACAATAATAAACGGCCCCCAGTCCCCGGCGGCCCCGCTATTCCTGGCTACGGTGGCGACCATGGTAACGGCGGGGCAGGGGGTGCTAAGAATCTCCGGTGGAGGTTCGGTTGCCACCTACGACGACTCGACCTGGCAACATACAACGCACGCACCCTGAGGACTGACGAGAAGATTGTGGAGCTGGAAGAAGAGATAGACAAGTTACGCTGGCATATTATAGGATTATCCGAAGTCCGAAGAGAGGGGGAGGACACGGTAATCCTCGAATCCGGCAACTTGCTCTATTACCGGGAGGGCGACCATCTGTCCCAAGGAGGTGTCGGATTTATCGTCCACAAGTCTCTCGTTAACAACGTTGTAAAGATTGAGAGTGTGTCGACAAGGGTTGTGTACCTTATACTCAGAATCACCAAACGGTATTCGCTGAAGGTCATACAGGTTTACGCACCAACCTCGGCACACCCCGATCAGGAGGTGGAGGAAATGTATGAGGATATCTCTAGAGCCATGCATTCCTCCAAAACCCAATATACGGTGTTAATGGGAGACTTTAATGCAAAACTAGGCACAAGAGAGAACGGTGAGCTGAAAGTAGGGAAATTTGGAATAGGGCAACGGAACCCAAGGGGCCAGCAGTTGGCTGACTTCATGGAGAAGGAGGGACTCTTTATGATGAACTCTTTCTTCCAGAAGCGGCCCCACAGGAAGTGGACCTGGTCGAGCCCCGACGGTTCGACAAAAAATGAGATTGACTTCATTATGACGACCAGACGACAACTGTTCAGTGATGTCTCAGTGATCGCGAGGGTGAAAACCGGCAGCGATCACCGAATGGTTAGAGGCACACTGAACCTAAACGTTAAGTTGGAGAGGTCTCGTCTAATGAAGTCAACGCTCCGTCCCCCTCGTGCTCTGTTCCAAAGTCCCGAAACCTTTCAGCTCGAGTTACAAAACCGTTTTCAGTGCCTAGAAGACTGCAATGAAGTAGACGATTTGAATGACAAGCTCGTGGAAACTGTCCATGCGGTCGGAGCTAAGTTCTGCAAGACCCGCCGCAGAAGAACACAAAAACTCTCCGATCACACTCTTAATCTCATGGCTGTTAGACGGGAGATGAAGCTACATTCTTCAACAGATTTGACAGCATACAGGCAACTGAACAGACAGATCTCCAAATGCATGCGGCGGGACTTACGCAACTTCAATACAGCTCGTATTGAAGAAGCGATCGAGCGGAACCAAGGCTCCAGTTTTTGCCAGAGATCTGTCTGCCAGAAAGCGCCAACTGTCAAAGCTGAAGACAGAGTGTGGCAGCATCGTTTCCGAGGCACCTGAGATTTTGAGTGAGATTGAGAGGTTCTATGGGCAGCTGTACACGTCATCGTTGGAGCCGCACGCAAGTGTGAGTAACGATCCAAGAGCGAGTCTTATCCGACATTATTCCAATAATATCCCGGACGTCAGTCTGAGCGAGATTAGAATGGCTCTCCAGCACCTTAAAAACGGCAAGGCCCCAGGCGAGGATGGAATTACAGCGGAGCTTCTGAAAGCGGGTGGAAAACCGGTACTTGAAGTCCTTCAGAAGCTCTTTAATTCCGTCCTCCATGGTGGCATTACACCGGAGGCGTGGAGCAGAAGTGCGGTGGTCTTGTTCTTCAAGAAAGGCGACAACGCTCTCTTGAAGAACTACAGACCGATTTCCCTTCTGAGCCGCGTCTACGTGCTGTTTTCGAGAGTCATTACGAATCGTCTCGCGCGCAGACTTGACGACTTCCAGCCTCCCGAACAAGCCGGTTTCCGAAAAGGCTTTAGCACCATAGACCACATACATACCCTTCGGCAAATTGTACAGAAGTCCGAGGAGTACAATTTGCCACTATGTCTGGCGTATGTGGACTATGAGAAAGCCTTTGATTCCGTCGAAATTTGGGCGGTGCTGCAGTCCCTTCAGCGATGCCAAGTTGACTGTCGGTATATCGAAGTGTTGAAGTGCTTGTACAGTAGGGCTACGATGGCTATCCGAGTACAGAACCAGAGTACGAAACCTATCCAATTGCAGAGAGGTGTAAGACAGGGTGACGTCATATCCCCGAAACTCTTTACCGCTGCATTGGAAGATGTTTTCAAGCTTCTGGACTGGAAAGGATACGGTATCAACATCAATGGCGAGTACATCACTCACCTTCGATTTGCCGACGATATAGTCCTTATGGCAGAATCGCTGGAGGACCTAAGCACTATGCTCAATGACCTCAATAGTGTTTCCCAACGGATAGGTCTTAAGATGAACATGGACAAAACAAAGATCATGTTTAATGTCCATGTCACACCTATGCCGGTAGTTGTTGGGAACACTAAGCTCGAAGTTGTTGACGAGTATGTTTACCTGGGACAAATAGTCCGACTAGGTAAGTCCAACTTCGACCGAGAGGTCAATCGACGGATTCAACTCGGTTGGGCAGCGTTCGGGAAATTACGGCACATCTTCTCGTCAGGTATACCTCAAAACTTGAAAACGAGACTGTACACCCAGTGCGTGTTGCCAGTGATGACATACGGAACTGAGACGTGGTCCTTCACTGCTGGCCGGATGAGGAAGCTCAAGGTCGCTCAGCGAGCTATGGAGAGGGCTATGCTCGGAGTTTCTCTGCGTGATAAACTCAGAAATGAGGATATCCGCAGTAGAACTAGAGTGACCGACATAGCCCAACGGATTAGTAAGCTGAAGTGGCAATGGGCCGGCCATATAGCTCGAAGAACCGACAACCGATGGGGAAGAAAGGTTCTCGAGTGGCAGCCTCGTACCGGCAGGCGAAGTGTAGGGCGTCCCCCCACTAGATGGAGTGACGACCTGGTAAGATATGCAGGAAGTCGATGGATGCAGGTGGCTCAGAACCGTGCTTTGTGGCATTCTTTGGGGGAGGCCTATGTTCAGCAGTGGACTTGTGAAGGGCTGTAATGATGATGATGATGAATAACTTGAGTTAAAAATTTAAAACCCCCGAAACAAAAAGGGCTGATGATGTTCAAATGGCAGAAGATATTTTCTCGCAACATAGCTAAACACTCTTGATTAAGAAACTTATTAAAAGAAAAAAACCAAATCAAAATCGATCTATCCGTTCAGAAGCCATGATGTCACAGACAGACACACAGATACATACAGAAACACAACACCCCTCTGTTATCGTCGCGGCTTATAAATCGGTCGAGCGGTTTTTGAGTTTTAGCGATACTAACAGACAACAATTGATTTTTATATATAGAAAAGATACTATACCTTAGTGGCAGTCATCTCTGCATAGTTGGTGAGCGAGCGTGTTGGATGCTTTTGTACTTTAGCGCGAAACACTGGTAGTATGCAACCCAACCAGCGCTCTGCATTGAAATTCGCACTAACCAACTCCTGTAAAAAAAAAGTTATTACTAAAATACTAACTGTAGTCCATTCGCGTTGAGAAAAAAGTGAATCATCAGCGCAACTGTAAGGTACGTGTAAAAATGTAATAACAGTGGAGTATAAATGTAAAGAATTTCTTTTTAAAAATATTAAGATTTTCAGATTTGCAAACACTAATATTACGTTATAATAACTTACTAACCTAATTTTTATATAATACCTGACTGTCGATGTACAATTACAAATTTATTTAATAAAGTAGATTTTGCCCGCGACTTCGTCTGCGTAAATATTATACTTTAAACCATAGATGATCCATCAATAATCGCACTTTCATAATAAATTCCATCACTCTTTTTAGGGATGATTTCCGTAATCAAAGCTATCCTATTTCCTTTCCCGGGACTCGAACTATCTCGATATCAAATTCCATCTAAATCTTTTGAGCGGTTTAAGCGTGAAGAGGTACATTTGCTCACGCGGCGATAAGCAATGTTTTCCCCCACCTCGCCCGCAGTACGCCCGACAGCCCTGCGCGCGCCGGACCGCACAATTTTATATCGTCGTTACTTTTAAAATATTTCACCAAATTACGTAGGTAGTTTAAAAAACAAAGTTTATCTACTTTGAACATCAAAAGCGATTAAAGTATTTATTTTGATAAAATCCATTTGTTACTGCAAAATGTATTTTGATAATAATGGCTTACACATTAGAATCGCGAACTTTTTTGTAGAATTATTTAGGAGAAACAACTCCACCATACATTATATTTGTGTAACTCTTAAAGTTTTTGCACCGCACGGCAAAATAGCTTGCAGATTACAGATTTTTTTCCAATTTACACAATATCATTATTAATTATAGCCTATGTGTTGTTCTGATGTATGAGTTATATTATTGTAAAGTTTCATTAAAATACATTTAGTAGTTTTTGCGAAGTTGAGTAACAAACATACATACATTCTCATAAACTTTCACGTTTATAATATTAGTAGGATAATGCAAGTAATATTTTTTTAACCATTTTTTATTATCATTCAGTGAATCATCTCTTTTTTTAACTCTAAAGGTTATTTATAATTGTAGGAAGTATATATTGTCTGGTTTGCTTATCAAAATAATTAACTATTATAGGTACATTTAAAATATGCTTAGTATAACTGCTCTAGCATCATGTAAGTAACAAATATTTTGTTTAAATTCGTTTGTACCAGACCGCACAGGCAAGAACTAACTTTTACTTATTCTTTGTGAGTATACGACACATTTATGTGTTACTTAGGTTAATCATCATTGCCATTGTGGTGACAGTATAAGAATAAACCACTAAACTATATCATCCTGTAGGTGTAACAGACGACAGAGGAAAACAAATCAGGAGATGGGCAACAATGTCTTCCTAATAACGACTGAAAATAAAAAATTGCAGTTGCCTACCCGCAACCAAGGCAAATATCTCCCCTATGAGGCAATCTATGGGGGAGGCTTGTGTAGAGTGGACTGTTGAAAGGTAAAGGTATTCAACAAAGGCTTCCTTTCATGACAGACTGAGAACTGTTGATGAATGTTGAAACCCTGTTGTATGGTGATGCAATGGAATATAGAGTGAGCGTGGAGCACCTGTGGCACGGCAGCCGCAGCCCGGATGACGCCACCCGCACAGCCCAGCAGCAGCGCCGGGTGCTCCGTGTGCGTGTGCAGGGCTGCGCCCACGGCGCCGTCCGTCATCAGGTAGGAGCAGCGCACGAAGTGCACCACGAACCTGCGCCCGCACCTGCTCGCCTCCGCTGCAGCCTCCTGGATCTCTGCTGACGCGATACCACTGGAAACGTTCACACACGTATACTAAACATATACCTAAATTAAGTATTAATTCAATCTAATATGTCTCTTTCTTGAATATCTAAATGTGTCTCTTTCTATTTTCATTTAGTAAAAGGAGAGAGAGCAAGTTAGAGCATTCCTTTAATGAGGGTATCCACAACTTTTTTGATGGGTAAGGTAAAATAAAACTGAGTAAGATTTCTAATATTAAATAACGTTTATTTGTACTTAGTTTTTCATGAACTCACAACCGAATATAGAGGACATAGATAACGAAACATAAACGACCGCACTCTAGTTTATAAAAATATAAACACAACTCAACCATAAACACAGACAAAGACCACCTTTAAAACGCAACATTTCAACAATGACAACAGTATATGATTGATAGCGTAACAAATAAGTTCACCTCAGACTCGACTAGCAAGTGTAAGATTGTTATTATTATATTTTTTTATAGGATAAGGCTGACAAGAAAGCACACAGTCCACCTGATGATAAATAGTTGCAAATAAAATACAGCAGCATTGTCACCCGTGAGGACTATAGATGGGATGCCTGTTTTCCAGTAAATAAGGTCTCTGGTTCTCTACACCCACCATACGAAACACAGCTGTATTAAGCTGCTATTTTACGCTGGTATTCTGTGGGAGCGTAGTCCTTCCTCAGTTAAGCCGACCCATTTATCCTACAACTGTACTGTTGATATAACTGTAGCATGAATCTACCACGTGTGTTATTAATCTTTATTGAGGAATTATCAATCAAAAAACAAATAAAAAGTAAAATTTTTATAAATTATATGTTAAAAAATTTAATACATAAGGATCTTGTTTCATATTCTTACACTGTCATTGAATTTTGAGCTATGTTCAAAGTTTCAAGTCTCTAGCTCATCGGGAAGCTAATTTAAAATCAATTACTAAATTCGATTTGAACAGAGATGACACGAAAGCGAGTTAAAAATAAACATGGTAAATAAACCCATTGGTGAAAACATTAATTTAAAAAACCCTGACTGTGTAAAAAAAGTTTACTTAGAGAAAGAGATTTCTTGTTATATCTTTATTACTTTCACTATTAAGACGAATCTAACGACAACATAATATGTTAAAATCTATCAAGCCGTTTAAGCTCCAAAGCGTGCCACAGAAATAGACATACATACTCTTGAAAAAAATTACCCTCCTTCTTAGGCAGTCGGATAAAAACACGACAAATGTAGGTTAAGGTACAGTGTAGGAAATAAGGTACTTTACGTGATAGAGCCATGCTGCAGCTGTATTAGTAATACAGTTTTAACAGGAATGGTTCGGCTCGTCTGGCGAAGGACCACGCTCTCACAGAATACCAGCGTAAAATAGCAGCTTAATGCTGCTATGTTTCGTATGGTGAGTGTAGAGAACCGGAGACCCTTTTTACTGAGGTATTCCATCTTAGTTCTCACGGCTGACAACGCATCTGCTTCTTGAATCGTAATCAAGGATAAATGTAGATGTTTTACTATAAAAAAAGTGTAGTGTACCGACCTGAGCGCAGTATCAGTATTGCTCTCGACACGTTTCTCCAAACGCTGTAACAGTTGCAAGCAGGCGCCGTAATCTGCACGCGCCGCCCCGCCACCAGCGCTACGTTTGCCATCACTGCCACCACTGCCACCGCCGCACAGCGTCGCCAACCGACTTCTGATGTCGGCCACCTCTCGCTTCAGTCGCTCGGGCTCCGCCAAGTCAATCACCTGGCTTAGATTCTCCACATGGCAGAACAGTTCCCGGGCCTAAAGTATTATACATAGACAGTTTCTCTTTAATTTTTATATCATACATATTATAATGAATAAGTACGTTCAAAATGCTTACAGACAAAGTTTAAAAAAAGAACGCGAGGTCGTTCACTTAAGGAAGGGGTAAATAACATTCGGTTTACAGTAATATTTTGTAAGATTGGTGCTAGTAGTAGCTAATAAATTTAATGAATCACAGTCAAATTTCGAGCCCTGGGCGACTGATTATTACCAATTAAGTGCTGATTTATCACCTGATCAGCGGTAAAGGAAAAGATCGCGAGGAAAGCTGCATGTTTTAAAAATAAAAAAGATATGAAGACTACGAAGTCCTCCAATGTGAATTGGACAGCCTGAAGGACTTTTTTTTCTTTTTTAAAAAAACCTTACCCCTTACACTAGCATTTTCTCCTGTATCGTGGAGGCAGTTTACAAACACAAATTGCACAAGGACAAACATCCAGACCCGGAACAATTATTTGTAGGCCATACAAATACTTGTACCGTGCGGTATTCGAACCCGCGGCCCCCAACGCAAGCAACTCATTGCTAAGCCACTGCGCCACGGAGCCGCCTTACTATGAAATATTTGTGCTTACTAACTAAAAGCCATAAAATCAAAAAAATATCGCATTTCTGCTTCTAATTACTTCCTTTGTATTTCGCTGTAACAGTACCTACCAATTAATTTGTATAATTATAAAAAAAAAAATGTGAAAAGTTGGTATATTGACGACACTCACGATACAAACCGAGGCCGAGCTAAGTGTGAGTATCACTTTGTCCTCTATTTTGTTTATTTGGCATATAGCTAAGTGTATCCTCATTGTACAGTGGTTGTGAAATAAAAGTTTACCTTATCTATCTTAAGTTACTACTTCTATAAATGATAAGCACCTCTGTGGCAGCTTCGCCGGTGATCGCGTGAATGTTGGGCGTGTTCCCTCCCGCACCTTTCACCAGGGTCACGCAGAACTCCTGCAGGTGCCCCGTGGACGCCACGTGAGTACCGCAGCATAACTCCCTGACCAGGAAATTATTACATGTTTATTGAAATTGATCTTTCATTCACAAATATATTTATAGATGAGAGAAGGACATTGGCGTTTTTCTTGACTTAAAAAAGCATACATTTTTTTTACACCCAAGATTGTTAAACATTATCAAAGTAAAATAAGGTAAAAAAGTTAGTATTCTTTTCTAAAAGGTCGTATCTTATGTACTACATGAGATTATTTTTTTTATTTTTTTAGAACTGTAATAAGGTCTAATAAATGCTGTTTCAAAGTTATCCATTAATTACAGGATATCCTGTATGTTTTCAGACAATTAAGAATATTCACTAAGTAAAATAACATTAACTCAAACTTATAAAGTTCTCTGTCAAAGTATCATTAATTATTATGTGACGACGTGGAATGGCGCACCGAAAACAAGAATGATATATTACCCTTTTCCCATGGCAGTGATCATTTCCCTATTGTTATCAATCCCCCTAGCTCCTATACAGTCAATGTTCCATTTAATCCTGGGTTAAAATATAAAAAATCCAAAGCAAACTGGCAACTATATTCCACAGTTCTAGAGGAAGAACTTTCAGCCCTTCCTCCTGTTCAGAAAGAGAATGTTCTTCAGGTGTATTCAACTTTTAAAAACGCTATTTTATCTGCCGCCAATAAGACAATTCCCATCAGAAAACCATATAAAAATAATGCTCCTTCACCGCCTTGGTGGGATCAAGATTGTTCTGTAGCATGTAAGAAGAGAAAGGAAGCTGAAGTAAGATATTCCCACTCTATGAATTTTGACAACTATATTTTTTATAAAAAAAAACTGCTGCTGAAACATTAAAATTATTATCTGGTAAGAAAAAGGCTGGATGGCTTAAATTCTGTGAGTCACTGTCGCCTAGGACTCACCCATCATTAGTCTGGAAAAATATAAAAAAATTCCGATGTTCAGTTTTGGCCTCTGAAAACACAACTTCTAATGATTAGTGTTATTGGCTAGAAAATTTTACTAGTACTCGTGCTCCTCCTTCAGTACCATTTTACAATGAATGTATAGCATTTCAATCACAGTCCTTGCACTATCAACACAGTTTTGACTCCCCATCCTCTTATGAGGAGTTATGTGCTGTTCTTAGTGTCCTTAAAGACTCTTCACCAGGAATCGATGGAATTCCTTATTCTTTTATTACTAATAGCAGTGAACCCACATAGGTGCACTAAAAGTATCGGGAATGGAATATTTCCACTGTTCCTGTCATATTAAAATCTTTTTAATTGAAAAGTCCTTGGTTTTTTAAAATTGAATACCATTTATTTGTTTAAAAAAAGATTCTCGGTCTTGTCACAAGGTTTTGTCAAACTTGTTTAGTCGTTGAGAAAATGGAATTGACTCGAGAAAATTCAAGAGCGATGATTTATTATGACTTTCGAAGTGGTTTAACACAAAAACAGTGTGTTGACCGGATGATTTCTGCATTTGGTGATGAAGCCCCATCCAAAACCACAATTTATCGCTGGTTTGCTGAATTTCAACGTGGACGTGTCAAGCTCAGTGATGATCCCCGTCAAGGTCGTCCAAAAACTGCATTCACCCAAGAAAACGTTGATGCTGTGCGTAAGCTGATTGAGGAAGATCGACATGTGACATACCGCGAAATTCAGACAACTTTAGACATTGGCATGAGTCAAATACAAATAATTTTGCATGAACAATTAGGTGTAAAAAGTTGTTTTCCCGATGGATACCGCATTCGCTCTGTGAAGAGCAAAAAGCGGCTCGCGTTACTTGGTGCGTCAGAACTCTCGAAAGATTCCACGCAGGATCCTCAAATGCTGTATACAACATCGTATCAGGTGACGAATCCTGGATATACGCGTACGAACTCGAAACAAAAAACCAGTCACGAGTTTGGGTGTTCGAAATTGAGTTAAAGCCAACAAAAATTGTTCGTTCACGGAGTGTTGCAAAAAAAATGGTGGCCACGTTTGTCTCCAAAACCGGCCATGTTACGACTATTCCTCTTGAGGGACAAAGAACGGTTAATGCAGAATGGTATGCTAGCATTTGTTTGCCACAGGTAGTTTCTGAACTCCGTAAAGAGAACTGCAACCGCCGCATCAACCTCCATCACGACAATGCGAGTTCTCACACCGCACACAGAACAAAAGAGTTTTTAGAGCAAGAAAACAGAATTATTAGACCATCCGCCGTACAGCCCCGACCTAAGCCCTAATGATTTCTATACTTTCGCTAAAATAAAGAATAAATTGCGTGGACAAAGATTTTCATCACCTAAAGAAGCTGTGGACGCCTACAAAACGGCCATTTTGGAGACCCCAACTTCCGAATGGAATGGTTGCTTCAATTATTGGTTCCATCGTATGGAAAAATGTGTCAAATTTCGCGGAGAATACTTCTAAAAGCAATAAATATATTTTTAAATAGTAATGTTATGTCACTTCCTTGATTACCCCCGAAATTTTCAGTGCCGCCCTCGTACTAAAGCCCATCTTCTTTCTATTTTGAATTATATTTACATGTCCGGTATTCGTCCTGAAAAATGGAAATCCCAAGTTATTTTACCTATTCACAAACCAGGTAAGTCTTACACTGATCCCTCAAGCTACCGCCCTATTGCTCTTTCTTGTGCCATGGCCAAAATTCTTGAACATCTAATAAAAAATCGTTTAGAATGGTTTCTTGAAAGCAAAAACCTTCTAGCAAAAAGCCAATTTGGATTCCGAAAGGGCTTAAGCACCATGGATAGCCTTAGTACTCTAGTTACTGATATTCGTATAGCTTTATCTAAACATGAATACCTTGTTGGAGTCTTTCTAGACATCTCGTCTGCATATGACAATGTACTTCTTCCTATGCTCAGGCAAAAAATGCTTAATCTGAGTATTCCAGTGAGGATAGTAAATTTTGTCTCTAACTTTCTCTCTTATAGATCCATTTATATTGATAGTCAAAATTCTCTACTCCCGCCAAGAATTGTATGGAAGGGTCTCCCACAAGGCTCAGTACTTAGTCCTTTGCTCTATTCTATCTATACTTATGATCTAGAACTTTCTGTTAACTCATTCTGTAACATCCTCCAATATGCAGACGATATAGCTATATATATTTCCCTGGATAACCTCCCTGCAGCTTGTTCCCGCTTGAATTTATCAATGTCTTATTTACAAGATTGGTTAACTGATCATGGTTTGTCTTTGTCTGTTCCCAAAAGCAGTGTTGTGATTTTCTCTCGCCATAGGCAAGTCCCTGAAATCAACATTCTCTATAATAATGAACCTATCCCAATTAGGGAGAATGTAAAATTTTTGGGAGTTATTCTGGACTCTAAACTAGTCTTTTCTCATCATATCAACTATGTCTCAAAAAAATGTGAAAATAATATAAATATAGTTGGCGCTTTATCGGGAGTTTGGTGGGACTCCCACCCATTCTCCCAAAAAATATTGTACAACGCCCTTATCCGTAGACATTTGGATTATGAGTGTTTTGTCTAGGAACCATGTAATAAGTCTTCCCTAAAGATCCTAGACAGGATTCAGACCAAAAGCCTTCGTATAATCATCGGGGTAATGAAATCTTCCCCAATAAATGCTCTCCAAGTTGAATGTGTAGATCCTCTTTACCCAAGAAGACAATATCTTTCAGACCGATTCTTTTTTTAAATCTACCAACTCTCTTCCCACCCTCTCATTTCTAAATTACACCTTCTTTTGGAATATATTTCATCAAAGCATTACTGGACTCATAAAGAATCTCCCTGCTTACCAACAGTTTGGTAACATTACTCCATCTACCACACCCAGTATCACAATGCAAGTCCTGTCCCATCTTTGATATCCCATATGATGCAATTATTTTCCAACCAAATATCCACCTCGACCTTGGTATTGAGAAAGATTGCCCTATAGCAAATAGTAAACTAAGTAGAGTCATAGAGAATTTATGTAAAGGCTGGCTGTGATTTTATTTAGCTAAGCTGCGAGGCCAAAAATGAATGTATGAGATCTCCGGTAGAATTTTGGTTACCTTGATGTTAATAGCCTATTCCTCGGATTCCAGGTTACAAATGTCATTTCTCAAAAAAATGTTCAATCCAAAATGATGGTATAACAGTTTATTCTAAACACTCAATTGAATGTATAATAACAGAACCTGATTCAAACGGTGGTAACTATCTTTTGATTAAAATAAATCCAGATATAGTAATATTAGCGGTATATAGATCACCCTCCTATTATTATATTGACAACTTTTTAGATTCTGTAAATAAAATTATTCGTCCCTTAAAATCTAGTAACATATTTATTATGGGTGATGTCAATATAAATATTATTCAAGGCAATCAAGACAAAGACTGTGAGCCTTATTTAAATTTAACTGCAGGATTAGGTCTTTTACCTATCCCACCCGTATCAATAATTGTTTAGACCATGTTATGGTGAAAACAGTATTAAACACTCAAATAATAGTACTCGATAGTGTAATCACTGATCACTTCTTAATCTTAACAAATGTTTCTTTGAACCCCAAACGCAAGCCCAATAATATTTTCATCGATAAAATAAATCATGATGAAGCCATCAAATCTATAGAGTCTACTGATTTTTCTTTTATATCTTCAACTTCAAATGCAGACACGGCTGCCGAAAAATTTGTTGATTTACTAACCTCTGCCATAAAGAAAAATACTATTAAAATTAAGATTCCTAGAGCGAAACGAACGCTTAAGCCCTGGATGACGCCTGGACTGATAAGGTGTATCCGTCACCGCGATAAACTTCACCAAAAACTGAAAAAGAACCCTGACAATGAATTACTTCAAATTTCCTATAAGCGTTATAGGAATTACTGCAATTCCTTGTTAAGTAAGCTCAAGCGCCAATATGAAAAAAGTCTTTTGACAAATGCAAAAAAACAGTAAAGAAACTTGGTCTGCAATCAAAGCCATCTCCGGGCACACCCGGAGATGGCTTTGATTGCAGACCAAGTTTCTTTATCACAATACTAAAAATAATTACGCTGATTTGATCATTAAAAATCCTACAGATTCAGTGGAGATAGCTAATTACTATTTTTCAACTTTAGGTAGAAAATTAGCTGATAAAATTCTAGCAAACGGTGTTAAACCTGCTAATGTTAATACTATGCCCTGGTCGCTTAATTCATTTGTGCTCGATTCTCCTGACGAGTTAGAAGTTGAAACAATATTGATGGGTCTTAGAAACGATTGTGCTATTGGTTGGGATTCCATTCCTGCTGTCTTCCTTAAAATGACCAAGGATAAAATACTTCTGCCACTCACAACCCTTTTTAAAATCTGTTTCGAACAAGGATGCTTTCCAAAAGTTTTTAAAAGATCTCTCATTACTCCTGTTTACAAGAATGGGGCTCGGGACGTTGTTGAAAATTACAGGCCGATCTCTGTGCTACCTGCTCTTTCAAAAATCTTCGAAAGGATGCTTAATAATCGTTTGGTTAAATTTCTAAACAAATATAATATCTTATCTAATATGCAGTTCGGATTCAGAGCGGGTGTTAGTACAGAAGATGCTGTTCGTAACTTGACCGAATTTGTAACAAATAAACTGGACCATAAACAGAAGTGTGTAGGGATTTTCCTAGATTTAGCCAAAGCTTTCGACACCGTTTCGATACCCATTCTTGTAAACAAACTAGAAAAAATTGGAATGAGAGATTCTGCCCTTTCTATTTTTAAGGATTTTCTATATGACCGTGTGCAGAGAGTAAAACTAAAAAAAATTATTAGCTCAGATGCCTGTGTCGTGTTTGGAGTCCCTCAGGGCAGTATCCTGGGACCAAATCTCTTCTTGGTTTACATTAACGACCTGTGCTCAATGACACTAACTCAAGGCAAGCTATTTACTTATGCTGATGATACAGCCTTAATTTTCTACGGAGAGACTTGGCCCTGTGATATACGTAATGAGTCAATGAAAAGAGGCGTGTTGCTGCTTCTATAACTTTAATTATAATGTTCTCTATTCTTAACTCTAATATATATATAGTCGTGGGGACTATACCACACCACAGCCCGAGGTATAGGAATTTGCGATGAGGGGTCTTCAAACTGTGGCAAATGGGCTTGAGGAGAATCTACTGACTCTTAATATATCTAAGTCCACGTATATGGAGTCCCATATAACCAACACCCAAACTGTTAACGATATACAACTAAACAGTACACTCTTGTGGTTCACAGTCAACAGATACTTGCCTTTGCCCTAAAATGACGAAATCCAAATCAATTAAATATCTCGGAGTAATTATAGACGAGAAACTAAGCTGGCTCCCACACATTGACCTTATTTCATCGCGCACTAGGATACTTATTTGGACATTTAAAAGGCTAAGGCACATTGCTGACTTTAATTTATTAAGAACTGTATACTACGCCTTAGCACAATCAATTATAGGTTATTGTATAGTTGCCTGGGGTGGAGCATGCAAAACATTTATGATAAAATTAGAAAGAGCTCAAAGATGTCTCCTAAAAACTATGACTTTTAAACCGTTCAGGTATCCTACAAATCTGCTTTACCAAGAATGCAAACTGTTGACTGTCAGGCAATAGTACATCCAACAGTTGATCTTAACGAAACATGCTCGAACTCCTTATGACCCTGAGATCTGTCGTAATAAACGCAGAATACCGGATGTACTGATTATTGGCAGATGTCCAACTGCTTTTTCTAGGCGACAAAGTTCATATCTATCCTCAGAGCTTTATAATAAGTTAAATAGAAATCTAAATTTTTATCCTCTTTCCAGACATGAATGTAAAGTTAAAGTTCGAGATTGGTTATTGTCACTTGATTATAGTAAAACAGAAAATATTCATTCATTCATTACAGCCACAAGTCCACTGCTGAACATAGGCCTCCCCCAAAGAATGCCACAAAGCACGGTCCTGAGCCACCGGCATCCATCGACTTCCTGCGTGTCTTACCAGGTCGTCACTCCATCTCGTGGGGGGACGCCCCACACTTCGCCTACCGGTACGAGGCTGCCACTAAACTACCACAAAACAGAAAATATAATTTGTAAAAATGTGTGTAAGTAATGTATGTCGTATAATAAAAGTATAATAAAATTATAAAATTATGAAATTAAAAATAGCAATGTTTGTTTAAAGCATTTATTTATTCATTATAGGTTATAATGAATAGAATATATATTCTGTATGAAATTATATAATAATATATTCTATATATATTACAAATTGAAAACTAATTTTAATATACCTACGATTATATAAACTATAATAACGACTCAAGAGTCGCATTAAGTTATAGTTTATGTTTCATTGTAAATAAATACATTCAAATAGCTAAACAGTTACTTAAAAATGTTAAGCTTAGTTACTTAATTAATTGTTAAGATTAAAATACTGTTGTCACAACACTGGGAGATGCCGCTGATCCCTAAGATACAGACTAGTCTAGTTTAGTTTTTTTAACAGTGGTAGAGCCACGCGCAGCTTTCGCTGTCGCACGGATGGGCCGGCTCGATCCGGGGTGGTACCACGACCTCACAGAATACCAGCGTGAAGTAGAGGTTTACCTCTGCGTTTCGCTTGGTGAGTGCAGGTGGCCGGAGGCCCTTTTTACTGGAAATGAGGCATTCCATCTTAGTCCTCACGGGTGACAACGCATCTGCATTTTGATTCGCAAGCGAGGATAGATGTAGATGTCTATGGGCCGCAGCAACCACTTACCATCAGGTGGACTGTGTGCTCGTTTGTCACCCTTATCTTATAAAAAAAAAAAAAAAAAAAAAAAGTTTGGGGATCAGAGTCTTCACTTTATTATTGTACTTTTATTTAAATAAATGATTACTGTTATTATTATTATTATTATTTACACTAATAGTATAAAAGTTTAATGTTTGTCAATACTAATATACTAATGTAGTTATAGCAACTGTGTTTGTCATTTGTTCTAGGTAATTCAACAGTACAACCACTAGTAGTACAAGATAAAAAGGAAAATTTAATTGTTTAAAGAAAATAAGATACTAAGTTGTAGTTGTAACTACTGAGCTTGTACTCAATAAACACTTTCACACTGACTTTGGCGAATAATCAAAAACCGCCATAAAAAAGAAAGAAGAAGAAGAACAACAACAAGAACGATGCAACTTGAACGTGCACAAATTTTACCAATTTTAAAGGCATTTATCCACCTACCATACTGACATCCACAACGAGACTCAGGTACTCTCTGTCCGCAAGTTGTTTATATTTTAGACTCTCCAGAGATACCACCGTGTAACTTCCTACTCACTAATACAACCATGAAAAGAAAATCTCTTTATTAATTAAGGATTAATGAATCATCATAGATCTTGACTTAGAACTAAGAATTAGGGAAGGCACCTAGTTCAGGAGACAAAAAAAGAAAGAAATAAACTTAAATTTATATAAAAATAAACTTATCCAGTTTATTATTTGTTCCTTGCTCAACGCAAACTGCTGCTCCCGGTTGGTTACAGTTCTTTTAAAGGATAATAGTAGCGAACCGAGAGGCATTTGGTAGGTAGCCAATACGACTTTTAGAAAGGTCATGCCTTAATACTTGAAAGGTCAATATCCTGTTTTAAAAAATATAAAATCCAGATTTATACATGTATGTATAATTTTATTACATTCGTGTATGCCATGTAGGCAACAAAAATAGTAACTAGAAAGTTATTTCAATAGGCTAACAAAGTTACCTGGACTCCAGTGGAGGTCCGCAGCTAACAAGACGCAGTCCACGTTCAGGATAGGACTCTCCAGGCACCGTCAATACAGGCGGCTCGCTCTGTAATTGCACACTATCCATAATTCTTGTGTCTAGTGGTGTATCACTCTTTATTGCTGACCTGGAAATGCATTTGGATACAGTAGTTTTATGGTTAGGAGACTATACATGGTATGATCAATTATGTAACTAGTCAAATACAATTAAGACAAACACCTTAAGTTCCTTTCAAGAAGAGTGGACGATTAAAAATATATAAAGTAGTTTTTATTAATCAGTTTTAACCAAAAAATTACATAAAAGTAAAAAGTTAAAGTTACAGCCTATATACACGTCCCACAGCTGGGCATAGGTCTCCTTTCATTTCTGAGAGGGTTTTAGGACAAGGAAACGTCCACGCAGCTCCTATGCGTGTTGACGAATTTCAAATGTCTTCGAAAATTTTTTTTTATTCCTCAGACATGCTGGTTTAACTCCAATAGGAGTTTGGTATGATGTACTTGCTCATTTAGTATTTCAAAAAAAATAACTGATTTTCTTTTAAAAGCATTAGGTCAGAAAAGTAAATCTCTACAGAAAATCTCTAAATAACAACAAAAATAGAATCTACTTCAATAGTCACATTTAGATTGCAATTTGATATTTTTCAACAAGTTTAAGCCTCTTTAGTTTCTTTTACATTCTGTATTCTGTACTAGAGTTATGGTAATGGCAAGCAAGAATAAATAATAAATAAAACCTTACCTAACTAACGTTTGAGCATCTAATAACACCTTGTCTGACAATTTCTCACCGTAAACTGACAAATTTAAGCTCAATCCTCCGTCAGTAACTCTCGAACCAATCTGGCAGACAACACTGTTCGGTAGCACCTTTCTAATGGCCGCATTTAACAGATGTACTGCTGTATGATTTTTCATAATTTTCAACCTTTTATCACAATCTATTGCAAGTGTCACTTCACTATTACACTTTACATACGGTTTTTCACTGCCTTGTTCTATAAGAAAATGTCCTTTATGAAACACAAAATCTCTTATTTTAAATACACTGTCCACTTTCATTGTCACTTGATCGCTAACTTTGATTACCCCACTATCCGCTATTTGACCACCTTCCTCGCAATAGAAATTTGTTCTATCCGTCACTAAATAATAAGGTCTATTTTCGCATGGATCTAAAAAGTCTATCCATTCACCATCCTCATTTATTATTGAGACTAGATTACATTTAAGCGGTTCGAATATTATTTTATTATCGACTAACAAGCAATCATATTTGTGTTTATCATCTGTACATTTAACACCACTTTTTATCAATCGGTCTATAGTTGTATCAAATGTTAATCCCTTCTTGGAGCTTTGTTCCTTAAATGCAGCCTTATGTTTAGATTTGTGTTGAGTCAATAGTTTTTGAAATCCTTGCTTGTCTATGCATAAATTATTTAATTTTGCTATTCTTTCGATCACATCCTCTTGAAAGCCATGCGTGTCGTACAATTTAAATACCAAGTCACCAGGTATTGTGGTCGATTTCAATTTGGACATAGTCTGAAAAATTAAAACAAGTTTACTTCATCATCATCATTACAGACCTTCACAAGTCCACTGCTGAACATAGGCCTCCCCCAAGGAGTGCCACAAAGCACGGTCCTGAGCCACCTGCATCCATCGACTTCCTGCACATCTTACCAGGTCGTCACTCCATCTAGTGGGGGGACGCCGTACACTTCGTCTGCCGGTACGAGGCCGCCACTCGAGAACCTTTTTTCCCCACCGGTTGTCGGTTCTTCGAGCTATATGGCCGGCCTATTGCCACTTCAGCTTACTAATCCGTTGGGCTATGTCGGTCACTCTGTTTACTTAACTGCACTTAATCAATCAATATATTCTTGAGACAAAATGAAATACATATATATATATATATATATATATATATATATATATATATATATATATATATATATATATATATATATATATATATAAAGTACAACGGGCGGTCTTATCGCTCTGAAAGCAATTTCTTCGAGACAACTTTTTTCTGCAAAGAACTGTTGTTTACAGCAAATTGTGAATAGGGAAAGCATACATAAATTTTACAAATAAGTAAAAAAAAAATCCGACCACATTCTAAAAAAATATACTAAACCGGATATACTGTAATACTAAAAGAAAATAATTAAACATAACAACTTAAAACATGGAAATGGATACAAAAAAACAACAATGTTGGAAAGTAAAGAGAAAAGAAAATTAGTCACTATTTGTCGCCAGCAAAAATGTGTTTTGCGATGAAGTGCCTTGCGAGTGTAGTCAAAATAGTTCCACTCAGCAAAAATTCCAGCTCTGAGTTTCAGTGAAAGCAGTTTTAATTTAGTTAGATTCTTTACAAAGAGCCAGGTGGGTGTTGGATTCAATAGTAAAGTCAAAATTATATTATGCAGTTCCATTTTATTTATAAGTAAGTTAGTATACCATTAGTTCCAAAAGTGAAACCTCTACAGTGATGAATCGGCCGGAAATTTTGGCATTCTCGTTTTGACTATTTTTTAGAATAATGATCTCAGTTTTTTAGAGTAGAGATAACTTTTAACTGAATTTTTTCTACTTATTATAATAAAGGTTTTAAAAAGTTACCTCGCGTACATCCGCTCGATAACATAAAATGATGTGTCTCACCTAGCTTGAAGAGCACCTCCCGTCCTCCCTCAATTGCGTGCACTATCCAGGTCACGCAGAGTCTATATCACCTGAAGATGCCTCGTGTAGAGGCGAAACACGTGTCGTATTGTCGTCAGTGGTATGTCTTTCCTAGTGTAGTGGTGTTGGGAGTAGTGGTGACGGGGATAGTGCATGCAATTGAGGGAGGACGGGAGGTGCTCTTCAAACTAGGTAAGAGACATCATTTTATTTTATCGAGCGGATGTAAGCGTGGTAACTTTTTTAAAACTTTAATATAATGGATTTCCGCAAAGTAACGCCTGATTCTATTATAAGCCAGTGTTTACCCACAATCCATCAATCAAATAGTAAATTCTTATTAAACTGCAGTGACAAACGAACCCTCAGTCCAGTTGATGTTAGTGGCTAATGCAGTCCATGGACACCTGCAGCAGACTTCAAATGAAGAAGGCTTCAGATACGTTGTCACCTCTGAGAATTAAGAGGGAACACCTCACAGCCCAAACACAACAGAGCACGCACTGCACGCACTGGCGGTAGAAATAGGTGAGAGGATGGTATCTACTCAGACCGACTCCTGTGCAGAAAACCAGTCCCGCAACCTAGTAAATAATGAGAGCTAATAATTTTCTGCTCACCAGATGTCGCTAGTTGACACTGAGGTAAATTTTTTTGTCACGCAATGTCATTTAATTGAGAAGTTAGTTTTGAATAAAAAAATATCAGTTTCCAGAGTATTATATTAATACACAAAACAATGCTTCAGTGGTTTGCTCTTTAATTTTTTTGCACATTTTTAACTTTTCTTACTTTTATGAATATCGGTGGTTTGGTTTATTTATTTTTAAACTTATTAATATTTAATATAAAATATAGCTAATAGTACAGAAAGAAACGTTAACCTTTACATTTATCGAACAAATTAACTTCCCCACTATGAAATCTGTCAAATATTATACCTCACTTTTAAGTGGCGCCGCCCTGGTGGCAGATAAAGTCGTGGATGCCCTCATTGCTCCGTAACCACAAAAAGAGCACACAACCACACAGCAATGATTTCAATAATTTGCACTATCATATCTTGTAACCTTACCTCCTTAAACTCTGTATATCCAAGCGCAAATCCAGCTATTTCTACATCTCCCAAGCTCTCCACTTCTGGATATCTTTGCAAAAGCCCTTTCCATTTCTTCCCCAATTCTGCTCTCAGCTTTGCGTATGCTTCTCTTTCGTGTTCTATAATGAGATTAGCTTCCTTCTGCTTGGAAACCAGCTCTGGGTATGTGTCTCCGAGGCTATTTGCCACTTCAGTGTACAAATGGGTGAGGAGTTGGGGGTTTTGGAAGACATCTGTACAAATCTTGAACGATCTGCGCATTACTTGCTTGAGGTTTAAGCTGGAAATGTGATTCAATTTAATCAATAAAAACCATAAGATTATTTATAAATATGACGGCACCTGCACCGTTGTAGGTGCGGTGGCGTCGGTCTAGCTAGACATAATTTTTGTAAACGACACGTGTACCGCACACCTGCGGCATTGCACCTGCGTTGCCACCCGTCCTGCTTGTATAAAACGGACGGAGCGGCCGCCGTTAACACAGTCTTGGCTCTGACGTGGAACGGTGCGTTTGTCGTATTGCGTTACTAGTTTATCCTCGACTCGTTGGATAATTAATTCGTGTAAACGAATTAATTATTATTCCTAACTACAAAATCAGTCTCTGTACTATACCCACTATACTTCCTACAAATACATAAATTAGAACTGAGTTAAAACTTCAGAGCTACAGATTACACAGATATAGTATGCAAACCAAGTTCGATCTTCAAGTACGAAATTTTTAGTTGCAAACACAACCGTATATTCATATATATGTGTAAGTATATCCACTACACCATATCATCCCTTGGTTGTGGTAAGAGGCGACAGAGGGAAACAAACCAAATGGGCAGCAGCGTCTTCCTAATAATGACTAAAAACAAAAAACTGCAAACCGCAAGTCCGGTCGTGTATGGAGTACTGCTGTCACATGTGGGCTGGCGCCGCAAAATGCCACCTGGCAGCGTTGGACTCAGTGGAGAGACGTGCTAAGAGGCTCATTAGTGACCTGGATTTGATTGAAACGAACCTTGTCAGTCTCGAGCACAGGCGCAGAGTAGCCAGCCTCTCGGTATTTTATATGATGCATTTCAGAGTGTGCGCAGGAATTACACGCTTTAATTCCTCTCTCTCCTTTCCACTGTCGGACAACCAGGCGGTCGGGAGCTCTTCACCCTTTTGTTGTCCATATTCCACACATTAGAACCAAACGGTTTGCTTCGTCTTTTGTAATTCGTACAGCAAAGGAATAGTATAATTTGCCGACGTCTATCTTTCCGCCCGAATACAATCTGGGCGCTGGGAATAGGCCTTTATTACGCTAACACAGGGCAATTTATCATTTAGGGCTTCATCACCACTTACCACCAGGTGGGATTGTGGTCAAGCACTGGCTTATAATGAGTAAAAAAAAACTGTGGTTGCCCATCTGCTTGTTAAACGTGGCAGCTATGGCAAATATTTTTCCTATGAAGCAATTTATGAGGGAACGCTATCTTCAGCAGTGGACTTCAAAAGGCTGTAACGGTAAAAATAATCTTTGAAAAGAGAAAAAAAATCTATATTAGGAACTGTTGCTCACTTAGCGGCTGGGAAGACGCCATCAGCAAGGCAAACGCTAACCATCCTTGCGTGGTCCGCCAGTCTCCTGTACGCTTGTTGCAGTGCATCCTGTGAACTGTACCCACCGCTATATGGGGGGGCTCCTTTGCTGTTCTGTTCAAACAATGTAATGTAGTGTTAATCTATACATATTACTAAAAGTTAAGCGTGTATCTATAATATCAACATAACTAACTTTATTTCGCTGAGTGGTTTATTTGCATGCTATTAAGAAATAAATAACCATTTTATTAAACTTTTTTCGTCTTTCCGGCCTAATCTTCGGAATGGCTGAACCAATTGCAATGAAACATTACAAACAAACAGAGAGAAATGCCAGGAGTAGGCTATATTTTCTAACAACTTCAAAGAGGAGGAGGTATTCAATTCGACTGTATGTTTCTTTTTTTTATGTCATCATCATCATCATTACAGCCTTCCATAAGTCCACTGCTGAACATAGGCCTCCCCCAAGGAATGCCACAAAGCACAGTCCTGAGCCACCTGCATCCATCGACTTCCTGCATGTCTTACCAGGTCGTCACTCCATCTCGTGGGGTTTTTTTTATGTGTTACCTCATAACTTTATTCTGGGAATGATTTCTGATTTTTTTTTTATTTGAAAGCTGGAGCTTCTCATGTGGCCCCATATAAATTTGATCAAGGTCTGACCAATAGTTTTTGAGTTATCCTAAATAATGCGTATTTAATTAACTTGGACTACATTGATGATGTTCTCATTTCATATTGAAGTGAGTTGTACAAAATTTTTAATTATATCCGAAAAAGTTGGGATTTTTTGAGAAATCGAAAAATCGATAAAACAAATGATTTTTGATGATTATCTTAAATCTTAATCAGGTAAAGCCAGGGCTAGCCGTTAGTATTAAATAAAATAAAATAAAAAAAATTGTAAATCAATCGTAAAATGAACTTTTTCTATTGTTTTATGCACCTGCCTTTTCGACGACACAGCTAACCCACATTTTTGATTACATCAAGTTAAGACTCATAAAAATATTGGCTTTCATAAGCATGGTCAAACCAGACATTACAAACTCTACTGACTTTACAAGATTATGACTAGGTATGGTCAAATTCTTTCTAAGTTCCCACTTACCCTGTGGATAGCGTCTATGAGAGGACGGAAAAGGTCAGTGTCGTAGTTGGAGGGTACACCTTGCAGCAACTTTGCCATCCTCTCCAAGCCCATACCGGTGTCTATGTGCTGTTTCCTCAGTCTCTTCACTGAGCCATCTGCTTCTCTACATGTTAGCGGCGCAAAAATACCATTTTAATTAATGCATTTAAACATTAGCTTTTTTTTTAGTGTGACAAACGAATTATAAGCCAATTGATGGTAAGTGGTCGCTACTGTCCATGGACACTTGCAACCAACTTAAAACAAAGAAGTCTACAAATGCTTTAGTCACCTTTGGGGACTAAAATGGAATGCCTGTAATTATGTATTAAGCAAAAATATTTTAGAGTACATGATTGATAATAACCCCTAGGAATGAGATTTTTTTTATAGGATAAGGGTGACAAACGAGCACACAGTCCACCTGATGGTAAGTGGTTGCTGCGGCCCATAGACATCTACATCTATCCTCTATTACAAATCAAAATGTAGATGCGTTGTCACCCGTGAGGACTAAGATGGAATGCCTCATTTCCAGTAAAAAGGGCCTCCGGCCACCTGCACTCACCAAGCGAAACGCAGAGCTAAACCGCTACTTCACGCTGGTTTTCTGTGAGGTCGTGGTACCACCCCGGTTCGAGCCGGCCCATCCATGCGAAAGCAAGAGCTGCCGCGTGGCTCATACCACTGTAAAATAGGTTGATTGCTACCATACTGTTTCTAAATGTTTTCATACTTAATTGTATTATATTGTAAATTAATTTCATTAAAAAAAAGTCCCATAGTCATAGTCATTAAAAAAAAGTCTCACTGGGTTTCTTGCATATTTTGGTTGTAGCACGAATGGGTCAGCTGGACTGGGGTAGAACCACACTCTTCACAGAATATCAGCGTAAAATAGCAGCTGAATATTGCTGTGTTTAGTATGGCGAGTGTAGAGGTGGAGATCTTTTTTTACTGCAAAACGAAGCATTCCCTCCTTCATTACTACCTACTTTTATTAGTCCTCAGGGGTAGCAATGCATCTGCATTTTGATTCTTAATTGAGAATAAATGTAGATTCTATGAGCCACAGCATCCACTTACCATCATGTGGACTGTGTGCTCGATTGTCACCCATATTCTATTTTAAAAAAACCAGAGGCTTTTTCCCAACCATTGGTAAAAGTAACATATGACTTTCAATAAGTATTTTAGTAATGATCTATATTGAATAAAAATGATTATATTCTATTATATTCCTGGAGTTTAAATAGAGATTCTTTATAATAAAGGGAACTGACCTGTTGCTGTCAATAAAGACAATGTTCCATATTTCCGTAAGACTTCCGTCAGGGCTTATGTAATGTAGTTCGGTACAGGCTCCACAGGGGCCAGTGACTCCCATTTCCCAAAAGTTGTCAGCAGTTCCACGAGCTTGCAAGCGACTTGCGGGCACTCTGCCAAATGAGCAGAATAACATTAATTTAAATGTATTTACTATATACAATATTTTTTTAACAAAGGCCCCTGCAAAATACAGTTAAAAAGCATAATATTCTCATTTTTAAGGGTGTTACCACACCAATCGATCGATCGTCGATCGATGGCATCAATCGATTAGGAATGTATTAGTCGATGATAGTTTCTACCACACCCATCGATTGATGGTAAAATGGATTAATCGAGAACCCACCCGCTCCACCGATTGCTCCATATTGTCCTCTTCTGAATACATTTTGAACAATATTGATGATTAATTGTCGATCAACATCGATCAATGATTGCACAAGGTTTTATCGACCAGTATCCATCGGTCAACTAAAACTACCACACCAATCGATCAATGTCGATCAATGGTCGATGGACGATCGATCAATTGGTTTAGTAACACCATAAAGACTCCCAACATGCCTTATCCAATCCCAACAAACAGTACCTGTCTTAAAGCTTTATGCTTTCCCAAAATTTGTTTTTCTATGAGCTATAAGGACTTTGTTACTTTTATAATACTGCAAATGCATTAATTATTGATTTGATTAACAACTAAAATTGATCTTAATGATTAAGGGATATTAGTTAAGAATTATAAAAGACACAAGCACTCACACAAATTAAATTGTGAATTGCATTTTTAAGTGGTGATATGTATCACTCGGCGATTGAGGTGGTCGGCAGTAAAGGAAAACATTACGAGGAAACCTGCATGTCTGAGGTGGAATGTGTACTCTTGACCGAATTTTAGTCATGGCAGTCAGTCTTAATGGAGACTACCTATTAGCCATCTGTGAAGGACAGGATTATAGTGCAACAGTGTGTGTTGTGCACAGGTGCACACAATTTGAGGATTAAAAATATTTTGAGGACATGTGGAGACTTTCAAAAAGCACTGCAGCAGCAGAACAACTAATTTATTGGTCCACCCTGTCTGAAATGAAAGAATATCTGTAGCCTAGCTGTAGGAAAGAAATTCAAAACTAAAAACAAAAGCCAAAGATTTTTATATACAAATAATATGGATCCAATAGTTGTAACTTTAAATTAACATACCCAATAGATTTCCATATGTCTCTACACTCCCTATCTTCTAGTATGCCTATTATTGGATCCCCACCAAAGTAGGTCACAACCAGATCTTCTGGCTTCAGACGGAAGGGACCAAGAAGAAGATCCCAGGCCATCTGACAAGCTTCTTTCTGTTAAAATACACAAAGTATAGAATGAATGAATTTAAAAAAAATATACATTTTTACAAGATCACAAATACCACATAATGGTAAGTGTGAACTGCAACCTGCTGATACTCTTATCCATCTAATTAAGACTATGTTATGAATACTCCAAATGTCAAAAGAAATTAATCGATAGCTAATCTATGACGGATGCCTATTCCAGCATAGGACTTTGACAGACTAACAAATAAAATAAAATTGTGATGATACCCTGACCACTAATAATAAAAAAGAAGCTCTTAACTCTATTGTAAGAAGTCAAAATGTTTCTAAAAAGACACATATTGCAATTCTCTATGCTGTGTTATTTCATACCATCATATATTATGATAAATGATATGGTGAAAAGTGTGTTATTCATGAAGAAGTTGTGACCAGGATAAAGAAAGGAATGCTTGTGGTTTAGACACATTGAAAAAATGAATTTGCAAATAGTGACAATGCAAACTTATTCTGCAGAAGTGAGTGGTTGAGCAGGCAAAGAACACTCTAGATGGAAGTTTATCAACAAATCGGATATATTGAAAATGTACCAAATTATTTTTCAAATATTATAAGAGTACCCTAAAACAACATATTACTAAATTTCTACTCAAAGTATACTATATAATGTACTTGCACATAAGATGTAGCTGCGTACCTATCATTGCACACACCATATTTAGTTCTTAAACATTCTTAAACAGTATATGTACTAGATATAGGGATAGAGGAGATAGAGGGTAAAAAATGACAAAAGAAACAGACAATGGGGTAGAGCCATGCTGCAGCTATATTACATGTATAGTTGTAGCACGAATAGGTCAGCTCAACCGGGGAAGGAGTACGCTCTCACAGAATACCAGTGTAAAATATCAGCTTAATGCTGCTGTGTTTCGTATAGTGAGTGTAGAGAACCGGAGACCCATGTTACTGGAAACGAGGCATTCCATCTTAGTCCTCACGGTTGACAATGGATCGGCATCTTGAATCGTAATTGAGGATAGATGTAGATGTCTATGGGCCACAGCAACCGCTTAACATCAGGTGGACTGTGTGCTCGCTTGTCACCCTTACTCTATATAAAAAGATGGAATGGAAGTGCGAGTAGAACTTATAACCCACACTTCTTTCAGTATTATAAAATTCAACACAGGTGTCATGCTGGGTGATTCTGTGTTACTAACATATTGGTTACTTTGTTTGTCGTGATTCTGTCATCATTGGTTATTAAGTTTTTGACAAAAAATTATATGTTTTACACAGCTAACATCTCTGCACGCCGAGATCACTCCCAGAAGTTGCTTGTGACATCAAAGGACTGTTGAACTTCTTCAGGGAGTATTTATAGCTCGAATAATTATAATATCCCTGCCCACACGCAAAATACGCGATTAGACATAGAGTTGCAGAAAATAGCCCATCGTAAACTAACTTTTTTTTTGTCTATATGGCCCTTGGTATTGTGGTTATGTCACTATAATTCTTCCAATGTCCGGTCTTAAAGCCCGTCATAAACTAACTTATGCTAAACTAAAACTATATTTTTTACTATCGAAAAGAATGCATGTTACTGGTCAACCAAAATATTTACATTTTATTTATTGTAAGATTGTAAATATTTTACTTCTAATAAGAAACCAATACAAATATATAAACTAGAGCACTATTTTCTATAAAGTACTAAGGCTGAAATCTATAGACTGTACTTTGATTTTGCTTAGACGTTACTTAAAAAAACTTAGCTGAGTAAATGCATATTTATTAGCATAATCTTTGATTCTGAATTTATGGTTATATCGGGCTAATATTAAGCTAAGCTAATGCTAAGGCCCAGACAGTCAAATAATTAATGGATGCTTCATTCCACGAATTATGTTCTTAATTTTACTGTATAAAATTAAAAAAATATATATTTTAAATTCGTAACAGTCCAAATTGTATTTTTTATAAATAAGTTATTATTACATGAAATAAAAAAACAGACATATGAGAACGGAAATGAGTGAGAAGAGTGCAAAATCAGAAAAAAAGAAGATTATAAGAAATTAGAATGAAGTTTGAAATTACATCATCATCATCATCATTACAGCCCTTCACAAGTCCACTGCTGAACATAGGCCTCCCCCAAAGAATGCCACAAAGCACGGTCCTGAGCCACCTGCATCCATCGACTTCCTGCAAATCTTACCAGGTCGTCACTCCATCTAGTGGGGGGACGCCCTACACTTCGCCTGCCGGTACGAGGCTGCCACTCGAGAACCTTTCTTCCCCATCGGTTGTCGGTTCTTCGAGCTATATGGCCGGCCCATTGCCACTTCAGCTTACTAATCCGTTGGGCTATGTCGGTCACTCTGGTTCTACTGCGGATATCCTCATTTCTGAGTTTATCACGCAGAGAAACTCCGAGCATAGCCCTCTCCATAGCTCGCTGAGCGACCTTGAGCTTCCTCATCCGGCCAGCAGTGAAGGACCACGTCTCAGTTCCGTATGTCATCACTGGCAACACGCACTGGGTGTACAGTCTCGTTTTCAAGTTTTGAGGTATACCTGACGAGAAGATGTGCCGTAATTTCCCGAACGCTGCCCAACCGAGTTGAATCCGTCGATTGACCTCTCGGTCGAAGTTGGACTTACCTAGTCGGACTATTTGTCCCAGGTAAACATACTCGTCAACAACTTCGAGCTTAGTGTTCCCAACAACTACCGGCATAGGTGTGACATGCACATTAAACATGATCTTTGTTTTGTCCATGTTCATCTTAAGACCTATCCGTTGGGAAACACTATTGAGGTCATTGAGCATAGTGCTTAGGTCCTCCAGCGATTCTGCCATAAGGACTATATCGTCGGCAAATCGAAGGTGAGTGATGTACTCGCCATTGATGTTGATACCGTATCCTTTCCAGTCCAGAAGCTTGAAAACATCTTCCAATGCAGCGGTGAAGAGTTTCGGGGATATGACGTCACCCTGTCTTACACCTCTCTGCAATTGGATAGGTTTCGTACTCTGGTTCTGTACTCGGATAGCCATCGTAGCCCTACTGTACAAGCACTTCAACACTTCGATATACCGACAGTCAACTTGGCATCGCTGAAGGGACTGCAGCACCGCCCAAATTTCGACGGAATCAAAGGCTTTCTCATAGTCCACATACGCCAGACATAGTGGCAAATTGTACTCCTCGGACTTCTGTACAATTTGCCGAAGGGTATGTATGTGGTCTATGGTGCTAAAGCCTTTTCGGAAACCAGCTTGTTCGGGAGGCTGGAAGTCGTCAAGTCTGCGCGCGAGACGATTCGTAATGACTCTCGAAAACAGCACGTAGACGCGGCTCAGAAGGGAAATCGGTCTGTAGTTCTTCAAGAGAGCGTTGTCGCCTTTCTTGAAGAACAAGACCACCGCACTTCTGCTCCACGCCTCCGGTGTAATGCCACCATGGAGTACGGAATTAAAGAGCTTCTGAAGGACTTCAAGTACCGGTTTTCCACCCGCTTTCAGAAGCTCCGCTGTAATTCCATCCTGGCCTGGGGCCTTGCCGTTTTTAAGGTGCTGGAGAGCCATTCTAATCTCGCTCAGACTGACGTCCGGGATATCATCGGAATAATGTCGGATAAGACTCGCTCTTGGATCGTTACTCACACTTGCGTGTGGCTCCAACGATGACGTGTACAGCTGCCCATAGAACCTCTCAATCTCACTCAAAATCTCAGGTGCCCCGGAAACGATGCTGCCACATTCGGTCTTCAGCTTTGACAGTTGGCTCTTTCTGGCAGACAGATCTCTGGCAAAGACTTTGGAGCCTTGGTTCTGCTCGATCGCTTCTTCAATACGAGCTGTATTGAAGTTGCGTAAGTCCTGCCGCATGCATTTGGAGATCTGTCTGTTCAGTTGCCTGTATGCTGTCAAATCTGTTGAAGAATGTAGCTTCATCTCCCGTCTAACAGCCATGAGATTAAGAGTGTGATCGGAGAGTTTTTGTGTTCTTCTGCGGCGGGTCTTGCAGAACTTAGCTCCGACCGCATGGACAGTTTCCACGAGCTTGTCATTCAAATCGTCCACTTCATTGCAGTCTTCTAGGCACTGAAAACGGTTTTGCAACTCGAGCTGAAAGGTTTCGGGACCTTGGATTAGAGCACGAGGGGGACGGAGCGTTGACTTCATTAGACGAGACCTCTCCAACTTAACGTTTAGGTTCAGTGTGCCTCTAACCATTCGGTGATCACTGCCGGTTTTCACCCTCGCGATCACTGAGACATCACTGAACAGTTGTCGTCTAGTCGTCATAATGAAGTCAATCTCATTTTTTGTCAAACCGTCGGGGCTCGACCAGGTCCACTTCCTGTGGGGCCGCTTCTGGAAGAAAGAGTTCATCATAAAGAGTCCCTCTTTCTCCATGAAGTCGGCCAACTGCTGGCCCCTTGGGTTCCGTTGCCCTATTCCAAATTTCCCCACTTTCAGCTCACCGTTCTCTCTTGTGCCTAGTTTTGCATTGAAGTCTCCCATTAACACCGTATATTGGGTTTTGGAGGAATGCATGGCTCTAGAGATATCCTCATACATTTCCTCCACCTCCTGATCGGGGTGTGCCGAGGTTGGTGCGTAAACCTGTATGACCTTCAGCGAATACCGTTTGGTGATTCTGAGTATAAGGTACGCAACCCTCGTCGACACACTCTCAATCTTTACAACGTTGTTAACGAGAGACTTGTGGACGATAAATCCGACACCTCCTTGGGACAGATGGTCGCCCTCCCGGTGATAGAGCAAGTTGCCGGATTCGAGGATTACCGTGTCCTCCCCCTCTCTTCGGACTTCGGATAATCCTATAATATGCCAGCGTAACTTGTCTATCTCTTCTTCCAGCTCCACAATCTTCTCGTCAGTCCTCAGGGTGCGTGCGTTGTATGTTGCCAGGTCGAGTCGTTGTAGGTGGCAACCGAACCTCCACCGGAGATTCTTAGCACCCCCTGCCCCGCCGTTACCATGGTCGCCACCGTAGCCAGGAATAGCGGGGCCGCCGGGGACTGGGGGCCGTCTCTTCATAACTTTCATTATGGGGGGTATATTGCCATAGTTGCCACGCTTGGCGAGCGGGTTGGCAACCGCAGTTTTTTATTGTATTTTGTCGTTACCAGGAAGATGCTGCTGCCCATCTCCTGCCTGTTTCCCTTTGTCGCCTTTTACGACACCCACGGGAAGATATGGGGTAGTGGATATTCTTAACCGCCACTACACGGCACTAAAATTAATGCTATTTAATACTAGAAGACAGCCTAAAACTACCTATGCAGTGTTATAAATAAGAGTTATATAAAAACAACAATTTAAAATGAATACGGTGGTTTTGGATAATAATCTGCATTTTACGAAAGTCTTCGATTTTGTTGACTTAGGCTTTGCTAAGCACGCACTTAGTACACCTTCGAAGTTAGCTCTATAAATACCGACATTGTCTTAGCTCTAAAGTTAAAGTCTGAGCAAAATCAAAGTACAATCTATAGATCTCAGCCTAAGGCACCAAAAAATTTAATCTGGCACTGCCAGCATGTATTACAGTATGGTCAAATTATAATCACAATATGCTGTATGTATGATGTGTGTTAAGCAGTTTTATTGCTAATAATGAGTAAATGCACACACTATTTATATTTTATAATATCCTCTTGTATATTTTCTAGCATAAATAATATCTCAAATGAACCAGTAAAAATATTTTTTATATATTGAACCAGAACAAAGAAATGGTTTGTACAGACAGGCTATGTAATGGCAGTGTAAGAATATCCATTACCCCATATCATTCCTTGAGTGTCGTAAGAGGTGACAGAGCGTAACAAATCAGGATATGGGCAGCAACATCTTCCTAATAACAAATAAAAAAAACTGCAGTTGTCAACCTGCTTGCCAAGCATGGCAACTATGGCAAATATCCCCTTAATGAGGCAATCTATGGGGGAGAGCTATGTTCAGCAATGGACTTTAATAGGCTATAATGGAACAAACGGACAAAATTAATTATATGGAATAGTTTGGCACATATGAGGTAACCATTACTACACTACTAACACGTTGATTGTGACCGTTTTGTACAGTATGACATACCTTGTAATAGTCCCCAAAGGACCAGTTGCCAAGCATTTCAAAGAAAGTGTGATGATGACCATCTGTTCCTACAAGGTCCAAATCATTGTGTTTACCACCCACGCGGATGCATTTCTGAGAGTTTACCACCCTTGAACTTGGCGCATCTACCAAACCCAGGAACACACCTTTAAACTGAAAATATAATTTTAAGATTCTACATAAAATCATTTCATTTCATATTTCACTATAGGTAAGATATGTACTACGATTATAATTATAAGAGTTGGCAAATTTATTGAAATAAAATAGATATATAACTGAAGCTAACAATTACATCAGCAATAAGATAGAAAAAAATATATGATATAGGTGTACAAAAATGTGTAAATTAAGGTTTCTTTTTGTTTTACTATAGGGTTTTACTTTTAATTAAAAGTTAAAATTAATTTTCAGTATAAGTTGCTATATATCTAAATAATAACATAAGCGAATATAATTATCACCTGATTCATCCCAGCATTAATAAATGGCACAGTCGGGTCTGATAAAGGTACAACAGAACTTGACTTTACATGCCTATGTCCATGAATTTTCGTAAAATATTCAATATAGGAGCTCCTAATGAAACTGCTGGAAGACATAAACATTCTATGTGGTCGAATGGTTCTGCTTAAAACTGGTCTTCGAAACATTATGAAATTTTGTTTTCAATAAACACTTGATCTTGTTTATCGATTTTATTCGTTTATTTTTAATTAATTCCAAAACTTAAGTCCTGTTGAATGTTGATATTGTATGTAAGCGCTGCCAAAACCAATTTGTCAAATTCCCCGAAAATCAATGTCAAATTCCCCAATTTAAGGACAAAACTTCAACAAATTCCCTACAAATTCCCCTCAGTTTTATTTTAAGAAATGAAACAATTTTGAACTAATTTTGTAAGGTTAATTTTTTTACTAACATTTTTTTTCTTGTTTACCGAAATTTTTTTTCGCACTTACATATTTTTGTAACGAACATTTTACTCCATGGAATATTTTTAATTTCTTCCCTTGTAGCCATTAAAAAGTACCACAGTATCTCCATTTATTATGCATGCGGTTCTTTGCTTTAAATAAAAAAATGAAAAGCATTAAATGATACACAAAAGTTGCCAAAATAAATCTAAAAGTCAAATGTGGTGCAGTGAAGATAATTAAAAAAAGGGAGTCAATTGATATTCATATGTAAGTAACCTAACAAAAATGATAAGATAACTATTTAGGTTTCTTGAAAAAAAGTTCTGACTTGGCCTGGGCTATCGATTTTAAAAATCCCCGCATTTCCCCCGCATTATACCAATCCTCAACCAACTTTAAATTCCTCGCAATTTGCGGAATTCCACACATGTTGGCAACGCTGATGAAAGTAAAGTAAAATAAATAATATTAGGTTAGGATTTAAGAACTAAAAATAAATGAGAAATAAGAAATTGAATTTTAAAAAATATTTTCTCTCAAAGTTATTAAATATATACTAAAGGGAGCACTTCTAATTAGTTTGTGCAAAGAGTATGGTACTGTCCGAGACTACTGTACTCTTTGGTTAAAACGTCAACATATAAAGCCAAGGTTCAGAAGGGCTAGAACCCAGAGCCGTAAAGCCAGTTTTATAATAAAAAAATAACACATAAAGCCATGTCTTAGTTTATGCTTTTTACAGATAAAAGCTTGGGATAAAATAATTTTATTTAATTGTTTTAATGAAATACAATTATATATTATAACAAAATAAAATCATATTATATTATTACATACATTTTAGTATTTAAGTGTGCGGTGTTTTTATACGTGGTAGAGCCATGCTGTACTTATATTAGTAGTATTGTAGAGGACTGCAGTGGACTGTATGATTTTAACTAACTGATTGACTAACTGACTAACTGTGTGATGACTGACGTTATGTAAGGTAAACTATACTAGGGACTGTTTAAGAAAAGATGGTACTGTATACGATTATATATTCAAACTATTTACAAGCGGCTTTTCACTAAACAATATATACACAGAGGGGAATCTTCAATGGAGTATGAATTCTTCTCTCTTGATTCCTCTTGAGGTTTCTTCTCTTCCTGTTGTCTTCAAGTGCCGCTTCGGAAATGAACAGCTCCCAGGCCAAAACGCCCTTCTTATATTTCAAAAGAGAGTGTCTCGGCATGTGAGTGGTATTGTGAGGTGTGTGCCGCGCGCTGATTCGTCGGCGGCATCACGTGATATACGGGCGGTGTGCGGGGCGCGCGAGGCGCAACGGGGTACGAAGGGGCGATGGGGCGGTGGCTCCCCTCGCCGTCCGTAATAAGTATAGTTGTAGCACGAATGGTTCGGCTCGATTGGGAAAGGACCACGCTCACACAGAACACCAGCCTAAAATAGTAGCTTAACACTGCCGTGTTTCGTATAATGAGTGTAGAGAACCAGCGACCTATTTTACTGGAAATGAGGCATTCCATCTTAGTCCTCACGGGTGACAAACGCATCTGCATTTTGCATTCGTAATCGAGGATAGATGTAAATGTCTATAGTCTATATGAGCCACAGCATATACTTACCATCAGGTGGACTGTGTGCTCGTTTGTCACCCTTATCCTAAAAAAAAACCGTTACCTTGGAAAGCACATAAAGCCGTTGTTCTTGTACCTGATCTTTTTCCGGTCGTGATAAGTTACCGTCCCATCGGACTATGAGAGTTACTGAATAGAGAGTGCACCTGTCCTGTGCTTGCGCGTACATTCGAGCACTATAATCCAGTCCTGTGCAGATGGCTAATCTCCGTTGAGACTAGCGGCCGTGACCGAAATACGGTCTTGAGGACATTATTATTATTTTTATTTTATTCCTGCAGATAAATTCGTGTCAATTTCAGTCGTAATTCATAATTTATTTATTGATTTAATTCAATTACACGGAATTTACAATTACAATAATTAAATAATAATAATTTCATACATTACAAATAATAACTAACATAAATTTATACACATAACGACTAATAGGAATTTACAATAACAATAAACAATACAAAAATAATACGATAATACAATTTACAACGTCTATTTTACTAAACTATTAATTAAACTTTTACTAATTAAGCTCTCACACAGTTTTCACAAGATTTTAAGCATTCTTCCATAACCACTCTCCATTCATCCGCAAATATGTCACAGCTGGAATTTTGGTCCAGTAGAGCATTTAGCGTGGTTAATGTTCGCGGAATGGGGGAAAACGCACGTGCGACTGTTTGACACATTGGCACTGAAAACAACTTGTGCCTTCTGCCGCGACAGTAGTTGTTGGGTACGTAAAATCGACACAGCTACAGATGGGCAAAGCACCGGGTTAAAACCCGGTGCTTTGGTAAAAACCCAATGAACACCCGTAAACACCCATAAACACCCAAAAAATTGGGTGTTTATTTAATTTGTGTAAATTATACTTAAGTAATGTTAAAAACAAGTTTTAAAATTTATTTTTATTGATTATAATGATCAATACAACTATAGAAATTTAAAGAAACGTCACCCAATTTTAGCTTTCGGTGCTTTCATGTTGTAGTTGACCAACATGTTGGCCTTTTGCTTGCCGTAGATATTTTAAAATTTCCTCATAACACCTCGTGCGCTTTACTAGCCATGGAGGAATATTGTCAGGACCAGTTGAACTAGCAGGTTTAAGTTTTCTTATTGCAGAGGCTACATCATTCGAAGTGATCTTAAAATATTAACATATATGCTCGTAAGTGTGCAATCTTGTTGGTTCACATTTTCAGCGTCAAGTCGTGGTACGTCTGTTAAGAAACCACTAGAGAAAAAGTCAGCAAAGATATCACCAGCATCGACACCCGAAAATATTTTGTCATTACTGTTTATGCATGATTGGAATCCGCCCTTATAACGGAGACTCGATATGTGCCACCAGAAGTTACGGGTGTTATATGTAATGTCTTTCTCAATGGCATTGAGGTAGGTACTCTGGGCGCTCGCAATACGTATCTTTAATTATTATATTTACTTTAAGTATTATAATACATAGATAATGCTTTTGTAGGACAAAGCCATAGACTTAGTATCTTAGTCAATCCTCTATCTACGGACAAAGCGCAAAGGAACACGTACTCTCATCTCTCTTGCGAGTAATATAGTTTGTGGTAATATGTTCTGTGGACACGTAAGTCAAATACCAAAGAGTATAGTAATGATCAAACGTCAACGATCAACGTCATTGTAATTGAAAGCGAAAGCTCGAAAGCCGATTTGGAATGTATCCCGGTTTTCTCGTATTTATTAAAATTAATTAGTTACAAATAACAGTGAGTATTTTTATTTAGTTTGTGCTTATTATATTTCTTTAGTGGTCGTTATAGTATAGTATATTTATGGCTTTATTCTTTGCTTTGTTTTCGATTGTATAATTTAATTCTATTTTTCTATTTATAAGGAGAAATATCAGCAATTGTGCTAAAATGAACAGTTTATACTGGAGTATAATTTACTTATGTATTGTTCTCTCGACTGCCGAGTTATTGGGTCCGGAAAGTCGTAAAGATAAAGAAAAAAACGACGATGACGACTCTGAAATTTCAGAGAATCCAGATATAAATAAAAAGTTTCGTGATGGATTTTTGAAGATGCTTACGGAGAGTATAAAAGATAATTTTGATAAGAATGAAGAGATCGAGGAGACTATAAAAGGTAATTATTTGTATTGTGTTTCAATGTGTATTGTTAGAAATATTATCAAAATTAATATTAAAAATATTAATACATGTCAGTAATTAGAAGAAAATAGCGCCAAAATAGATGAAGTATGCAAATCAACAGCAACACTGCCTATACAATATGGTTTAGAGCACCTTCTTCACAACATAACATTTGCTTGTCTCAAAAAATTACCAACACACTAATTAAATCCTGTATTAAATCACAGATTGAAGCCTGCTCCGTACTATATACTGCTTGAACTATATACTGCTTGGTTTCACACCTCTAGTAACCCTAATTTTATATATTTTTTAAATTTCTGTAAGCTGCTATGCAGGTTTAGAAAGACCAATATGACTGTGACCTGTAAGATCTATTGTCATCGCTGCTATGGCTATAGTTCACTGTTAAGCCCTATGTCTTCAATGAATAGAAGGAGTTGCTTCACTATGAGCAATTTCACTCAAAGTACATAGATTCCCAGATGAGTGTTATGTTTGTGCATTAAGGGTCCACAGTCAGGATGTGTAGAGGTGTTTCTTCCGTTAAGGAACAGAACCGGCACATCCTTGAGTTGCTTAGTCCCAAGATGGCCATGTGCTTTTTAAGACAACTGTCTGGTCAGGGCCCTTGCTATTAGTACTTTAGTAAGCTTTAGTACCATAAACCACATACACACCCTTTGGCAAATTGTACAGAATACAGAAGAGTGCAATCTGCCAATTTGCCTTGTGTATGTGGACTATGAGAAAACCTTTAATTCTGTCAAAAGGAGATGAACTTAGTTCTATACAAGCTTGGGGCCGGCTTGAACAAAGTTCAGATATATCTTATTTTGCAGATATAAATATTTGCTCCTTATGACATAAAATCATATTTTTGTTAAATTAAATCATGAAATTAAAAACACGAAATATATCCACAAACACAACCACAATGCCAAATGCGCATGACAAGTTGAAACTCAAAGTTACCAAGTTGTCTCTTTTGAAACAGGCAATGATCAACAACTATACAGCCTATTCAGTCGTGTCCAATATTCTTTCAATATTTTGTTTCATTTAATTACGTAGCCTATTCAATAGATTTCTTTTATTTAGTATTAATCTCTACAGATTCACCTCAATGTTTCAATATTATGAGTTTTTTTGATACTGAGGGCTATTTATTACAAAAATTAGTCTTTATTATCTAATGCCATAGACAGAATACATAAAAATATTTAAAAACGTTTTGTTTTTGCTATGGTAAAAGCATTAGCTTTCGTTTTTCAGTTTAAAAAATGTTTTTATGATTGTCCCATACATTACAGAAATAAAAACCATTTGAATTATGCTTATAATTTATCATTATGTTACCTACATATTTTTGTTAACTGTTACAAACAATGTCAAGCATCCAATTTCATACGTCTCCTTTGGGTGGTGCTACAGTCTCTTTCAGAGGTGCCAAGTTGACTTTCGGTATATCGAAGTGCTGAAGTGTTTTGTACAGTAGAGCTATGATGGCTATCCAAGTACAGAATCAGAGTACGAAACCTATCCAACTGCAGAGAGGAGTAAGACAGGATGATGTTATATCCCCAAAACTCTTCACCACTGCATTGGAAGACGTTTTCAAGCTACTGGACTGGAAAGGATACAGTATTAACATCAATGGCGAGTACATCACTCACCTTCGATTTGCCAAATCAGTTATATATCCAAAAGGCATAGCCCTCCCTTGTGGATAGGACTGGAACTGGTAGGCGTTTAGCGCTATTCTGCCACGTTCAGCACTGTTCCGCCGCGTTCAGCGCTGTATGCGGGCTGTTCTCGACGATAAGTTGCAACTTGCATTGGTTGATTGATACATTTGATTCGCAATCATTTCGCATACAATCATCGAGAGAATGAAACAGAAATCATTTTGTATTTTACTTTTGTAACCCTGGTCACAATAACTCTGCAATTACTTACGTAAAATTTTTGAATATTCATCCGAAAATGCTCTTTAAATTGAATATTGTTTTCTTCCCACCAATCCCCTTTGGTAATGTTCGTTCACTGGTACGTAGACACTTCACTAATCTACAAGCTCAACTTTGGAAAAGACTGTAGACAAGCTAGGGAGGCTCTGCCTGAAATAAACGGTCGTTTAACCAACGTTCTAATGAGACTGAACAAGCCGTAGATCAAGATAATAACAAGTGCTATCACAGGACACGGTAACTTTAACAAGCATTTATTTACTATAGGTGTTACTGATAGTCCCCTGTGCAGGGCATGTATGGGGGAAGAAGAAACGGCGGCCCAAGTGCTATTGAAATGTCCGGAGGTCGCTACGTACAGGGCAAAATACGCGCATAGACGTGGAGTTGCGGAAAACAGCCCGTCGTAAACTAAACTAAACTAATTGTTTTCTTTTAATTCGGGTATTAATGTCGCGTATTCTATAACCAAATTTCTGTTTCTCCAAAATGGGTTGACCCACTGTCGTTTGCGTTCGCGTTTATTACGTTCCAGTTTTTTATTTTTTCTAAAAAAAGTGTAACGATCATAATATCGCACATGGATCTGTCCATGGTGAGTGCAAAATACTAATTGAAAGTAGTTTACCAGGAACTTGTAATCGCTTCTCAGTCATCTAGCAGCGCTGTACGCGGCAGATTGAAGTGTTTCAGCTGAGATAGCACGCTATAACGGCCTTTTACTATCTTACGCGGCTGATAGAAGCGGAACTGTATATATAAGCGTAACCAAAATCATTCAGCGAAACTGGAACGGAGTTGAATAAATGTGTATGTAGTCGTAAATTCCGATGCTTGCACACACATTTGGATAGAGTGAATATTTGCCATCATTGCCATGCTTTTTAAATCCTAAATATGATTCCTGAATTAACAGTTTTTTTATTATTTTTTTATAATTCCTTAACAATATCTTAGTTCTTAGTTTTACAACTTATCTAATTTTAATGGTTTCTTATATTTACATGAATACCAGAACTTAATTTAACTTATTCTTATGTTTAAGTTAACCTAAATGCATAAATTCCAAAAAATAGTTTTATCTAAGTTTATTTAAATTAACATTATTTTATTTACATTTTAAAACAGTAGCTGGGCAGTCAATATTGTTTATTCTAGGCCGAACAGAACATTCTCAATTTCACTGTATGGTCTTTTTTGTATGTATGTATTTATGTAACAATGTATTTATGTACTTGTAAGTCAATTGCAAACCAATTTTAATGGTTATTTTTATATTAAATAGGTATATATCCTTCTTTTGTTTTATCAGATGTATAGAATGTATAGAATAGGCATTATTCTGCGTCTTAGCAAGCATGTAAATTATTTGATTATTTTTAGTCCTTTGAAGTTGGCTTTTTAATTTATGTTATAAGTTTAATTTTAAGCTATGAATTTTCTCAAAGAATGTCTTACAATAAATTACCACATTTATTTTTAAGTCTAATAAAATTCCATAGTAATCATAAATTTTTTAATTACCAAACTTACTTTAATTCATATTTTAGATCTTTTTACAGATCCTTCCAAATTGTCTGATGCCCAAATAGAACAGATAAAATATGCAGTTAATCTCTTGAAGAAACGCGCTTTGCTGAAGCATTCTGACACTGGGTGGAACCAAGATGCTAAGATCAATAAAGAAAATGACAGTGAGCTTGAGGTATGCTCTCTCTGAACCTTATTTTATTCCACTTATAAATTAAATTACTCATAATAAATTTATTGCAAAAATAAAATATGTTTTAACTTATAAAAGTCCCATTGCTGGGCGCATGCCTCCTCTTATTTATGGGAGGATAATAGAGGAATTTGTCCGCTGCTCTGCATCAGTACGTGTTGGTGAACTTCACATATCCTTGAAATATTGTATTCCTCACACATGCAGGTTTCCTTATGATGTTCATCACTTTCATGAATCATTACTTTTTTTTATAGAATAATAGCGACAAATGAGCACAGCCCACCCAGTGCTAAGTTAATGCTGTGGCCCATAGACATCTACATTTATCCTCAATTAAGAATCAAAATGCAAATATGCGTTGTCACGCGTGAGGGCTACGATGCAATGCCTCGTATCCAATAAAAAGTGTCTCCGGTTCTCTACACTCAGCATACGAAACACTGCTGTGTTATAGGACAACGGCGGCATAGTAATGCTGCTACATTAAGCTGCTATTTTACGCTGGTGTTCTGTGGGAGTGTGGTTCTACCCCAGCCAAGCTGACCCATTCGTGTAACCATAATATAGCTGCAGAGTGGCTATACCCATGTAATATTTTTCAATTTGCAATAACAATTTCATTAGTAGCGGAGGGGATCGAACTAGGGTAGCACATACTGTGAAATTTGCAATGAGGGCTTAGCTACTGAGTTTCTAAGGCTTGGTTCTTTGTAGGTAGAAACTACCATCTGCATCTGCTTCTGAATCCTATCTATATACAAACAAATAAATTTAATTGAAATGTCTGTTTGTAATGTCAAAATAAACAGCTTTTTATTAAATGCATATGAAATTATATACGGTACATACCTATATAATAAAAACACAATTTTTAAAATGTTTGTGTCTGTCAGTCAATTTGTTCCGGCTAATCTCCGAAATAGCTGGTTTGATTTTGACGGGACTTTCACTGGCAGATAGCCGATGTTATAAGAAGTAACTTAGGCTACTTTTATTTAATAAAAAGAGTACGGGTTCCGCGTAAAAAAAAAAAGAAAACGTCACATTACACGCGGGCGAAGTCGCGGGGAACAGCTAGTAATTAATATAATTTAATTGCAACCTAAACATACAATTGCGAATCTTCATATAATACTGCAGTTCTTTATGCATAGATCACATCAAAAATTAATATTTTTTTCTTAATTTTTGATTCACTAGTGTTAACAATGATATCGCGAATTTGAACATCACTGTCTCCCCTTGACCATGGATGCTGGAATTACTCGAAACCTTGTGCACATAAAGATAAATTATTTAACGTGATGTAATCCTTTAAAAAAACTAGTACCATTCAAGTTTCTTTTTTGTACAGAATGGACACCTGCTGAGAATCAAACCTGCTTTGACAAATATTTTGACAACTAGGCCATACGGTCATCATTCAAAACCCTATAATAGTGCGTCTAGTGCCCACAAAACAGGCTAACTTCTCTATTTCTTAGATTCATATATCATTTGTTTCGTAGTAGTTTCTGACGAAATTCGCAATATTGTGATGATAATACATTTTTTTTTCTTTAGACATATCAACGCTATTATACTTTAATTAAATAATTTATAATAAATATCAAATCTATACATATAAATATAAATTTAAGTGTCTCTCTATAATTGTGTGTGTGTAAATAACTGCCTTTCGTTAAGTTCAGGGGTTTTTTTGCATGCTATTAAGACATGTACAACCCTTTTTTTTTTTAAATTGTCCGTCTTTGTGTAACTCTACAGGCTAGCCTTCGAAATGGCTGAACCTATTGTAATGAAACTTTACAAGCAGATATAGAGCAATATCAGAGTCAATAATCAAGGCTATGTTTTATTTGAAAAACTAAGAATTTAAAAAAAATGGTCTATGATTATCTGAAATCGAAATAACGCCGCGTAATAGATCTTACCTAGGCAAAGCCAGGGCGGGTCGCTTATACAATATAAAATTAAAAAAGTTTTTAAAAATATAATTTTTTCATATCTTGGAATTTGGATTTGTTGAAATATTTCGAATTAATCCAACTGTCCAGTACATATAAATTAAATTTATTTGTCAATAATTCCCTTTCAAAATTCAAACCTCACAATCAATAAATACGACTTTTTTCTAGGGTAGATAGAGAAGTGGGCTACTCATTTTTTTTTATAGAATAGGGTGACAAACGAGCACACAGTCCACCTGATGGTAAGTGGTTACTGTGGCCCATAGACATCTACATTTATTCTCGTTTGCGAATCAAAATGCAGATGCGTTGTCACCCGTGAGGACTAAGATGGAATGCTTCTTTTCCAGTAAAAAGGGTCTCCGGTTCTCTACACTCACCATATGAAACACAGCAGTGTTAAGCTGCTATTTTACGCTGGTATTCTCTGAGAGCGTGGTCCTTCCCCGGTCGAGCCGACCCATTCGTACTACAACTACACTACTAATATACCTGCAGCATGGCTCTACCGCGTATAAACTCATTTGCCTTTTCTCACACTAGTTTATTTTACTTTACAGAAAACGGAAGAAGTTCTTAAAGATATTTTGGGAAACTTACAAAATTCGCAAGTTGAAGAAGAACCTGACTTAACACCGGAATTGAAAGAAGGTAATTTAACCAAAGACTTGTATGTATGTAGAGTTAGAGAGGCAAGTAAGAACAAAAATTGTGTCACAACTGGGAAGCTGGCTGAGTGGGTAGCTAGCACGGTAAATATGCCTCGCAAATATTGTATTATACGAAAAAAAAAGTTTTTAGGACACCTACTGTTTTTAGGCAAATACGAAATAAAGTTACATACTTATCTGAAATAAACTTCAAATCACATTGACAAAGTGCACACATAAATAATGACAGCGTTTTCTAAGCAACATTAAACAAAATCAGTGTTAGATTGTCTTTTTTTATTTTATTTATTTAACCTAATTATTTAAATTTACTCTATTAAAGTTTAACAGTCTGCCAAACTGCTCAGCAGTTTGTTGGTAGAAGAAAAATGCTCTCCCTCCACGTTACCTCTCGCTAGGATTTTCTCCTGTATCGTGGAGGTAGTTTACAAACATAAATTGGACAAGGACAAACATCCAGACGCGGAACAATTATTATTTGTAGGCCATACAAATACTTGTTCCGTGCGGATTCAAACCCGCGGCTCCCAGCGTTGCAAATCATTGCTAAGCCACTGCGCCACAGAGCCGTCAATTTAAGTGTCTGTCTGTAATTGTGTGTGTCTTTAAATAACTGCCTTCTGTTACGTTCAGGGTTTTATTTGCATGTTATTAAGGTATGAAGACATGAATAAACCATTTTAAAAAATTTGTGTCTTTTTTTGCTCTCTTACTGCTTAACATGCAAAAAAAAAGCTTAATACAAATATACACACTCAACTATAACAAATCAATACTATCGATATATACATATACATATACACAGGTACACACCCATACATAATAACTTTTTTTGATTGAACTATTGTTCTCGCGCGTTCACAGTCAACTAAAGAAGTATGTCATCATCATCATCATCATCCTTACAGCCCTTCAGAAGTACACTACTGTACATAGGCCTCCCGCAAGAAATGCCACAAAGCACGGCCCTAAGCCACCTGCATCCATCGACTTCTATCTTATCAGTACGTCCCTCCATCTAGTGGGGGGACGCCCTACACTTCGACTACCGCTACGAGAACTGCTACTCGAGAACCTTTTTTCCCCATCGGTTGTCGGTTCTTCGAGCTATATAGCCTCTTTGCCTGGCCCATTGCCACTTCAGCTTACAAAGAAGTATGTATAGTACCGTAGTGCCTGTCTCGTAGTATGTACATCGAAGTATTTAATTTTAACATATAAAATATTAACTATACTTTATTTCATTAGTGGTAACATGTCTTATGGGAATGTAATTACTGAGTTTTGTACACGGTAGAGCCATGCCACTGTTGTGTTATTGTTGTAGCACAAATGGGTTGGCTTGACCGGGAAAGGACCACGCTCTCACAGAATATCAGCGTGAAATGGCTGCTTGATGCTGCCGTGTTGCGTATGGTGAGTGTAGACAACCGGAGACTCTTTTTACTGGAATCGAGGCATTCCATGACAAAGCGTCTGCATTTTGATTCTTAATGAAGTATAGATGTAGATGTCTATGGTCCGCAACATCGTGTGAAATTTGTGCTCGTTTATGCACCCTTATTCTATAAAAAAAAAAAACTCCCTATACATACAATTTCTATATTATTCATATAATTCTTAAATGATTTCCTGGTTAAGTGAATGAAGAATTGTAAATAGTATATTTAATTACGAGTGCGGAAAGCCTGTCATTGCAAAGAGTTCCGTCAAATGTCTACCCGAGCCGAGGCGCAGCCGAAGGTGAGGGTTGACAGTTGGAACAAGTTGCAATGACGGTTCCGCACGTGTACTGAACAACTCTTTTTAATACAGTTGCGAAAAAATGAAGCAATTTAATAAAGAACATTTTTGGAAAATGGCGCCAACCGTAAAAGAATATAAGCATAGATTTTTTTGTTTTCTTCACCCATTCTGGGTAGGCAAAGGGAACTATGTCCATACAGCCAAGTCTTCAGTAGAATTTTTTATTGATATGAAATGAAAATGAAATTTAATGAGATGAAATGAAATGATACCTAACCTAACTCATTGAATCAAATCATTAAATTTGATATTGAAACAAATTAGTAGCTTCTTTTTAGAAATATTTGCATGAATCATAATCATAAACTTCTATGAATTTTTTTTAGTAAAAACTTCATGGTTGGTTTTTTTTAATAGACATTATTTTGAAAGTTGGGAAAGAGAACGCACGAGTTCGGAAAAGGTAAAGAAAAAACACGAGTATGTAATAGCCCACATCCCGAACGCTATACGTCCCTGCAATACGCCACTTTTTGAGCAACTGTATTAAAAAATACAAGTCGCGGCAAGTAAGTCTAGCGCTGAACGAAACGTGGAGGAGACGCGCACGAATTGAATTGCATGACTGCGGCTGGAAAGCCAATCAGCGCGACTTATACGCAATAACGGTCACCGCTAGACTTTCGTGCCGCTACTTATAACTAAAGATAAGTACTCTTATTCACTGTACGCTAAATGAAAAATGTACTTTTGATAAAGTTAGTAAATTTCTTGCTTTAGTCATGAAAGAAATCGAACCTAGATAAATGTGAAATGACTTTGCTTTAAAATAGAATAGAATAGAATTTAACGGCTCCGTGGCGCAGTGGCTCAGCAACGAGTTACGGCGCTAAGGGGTTCGAATCCCGCACGGAACAAGTATTTGTATGGCCGACAAGTAATTATTCCGGGTCTGGATGTTTGTCCTCATGCAATTTAAGTATGTAAACTGTCTCCACGATACAGGAGAAAATCCTAGTGTGGGGGTCATGGTATTAAAAAAAATGGTAAAAGGAATAGAATTTTGACTGTTCTCTCCAGCCAAAGAGATATACGATGCAGCTATCGCGAAGTTGGACCGTCGGTCAGCGGACCTTCGAGGTGCCATCTTGCAAGTGAAGCATGCAGCTGAGCGCGGCTACCGCCCCGCTAATATAAAACTCGCCTGGTCCTACCTATTTGGAGAAGGTGTCGAACTGGACGTGGACAAAGCTAAGGATATATTTGAGAGGCTGGCTAGTGAAGGAGATGCCGATGCTCATGCAGTGAGTTAAATATGTAATTTATATCTGCTATTTTTGTCACTATAACAATAGTTTAAAATAAATATTGTGAAACAAGTGTTAAAACAAAACGCAAAAATGAGTTTATATATTTCTTAAGACTGCGGTTGGTAATCTCCCAGCCAACTGTGGCATAGATGGCAAATATTTATGAGGCAATCTAATGGGAGGCCTATGTTCAGCTGTGGACTTTTCAAGGCTGTGTTGAATGTATTGAAATGTATTTAAAGTTACTGTCTACATATTTCCTACTACTGGTTACAGTCTCTCATTACTGGGCTGCTACTGAAAGTGTTTCGCATCTGAGCTACCATGGCTCTCGTTTTTATATGAAGACATAAATTAATTTTGATATATCAAAAGTCCACTGCTGAACAAAGTTCTGCCTCATGATTGCCTCATAAGGTAGGATATTTGAAACAGTTGCCGCGCTGCCCATTTGTTTCATTTTCTCTTGTCATCTGTTATGACATTTAGGATCATTCTGTAAGTGTCATGGGGTAGTGAATTATCTTACACCGGCACTACATGCGTAACAAGGCAAGATACATAATGACACTCTTTATCTAATTCAATAACTCAACTAGTATCCACGACTTTTTCCACCATCAGGGCGGCGCCACTTAGAAATGAGGCGAAGTATTTGACAGTTTCCATGGCGAGAAAGTAATTTTGTTAGGAAAATGTCTTTCTCTGTTATAATAGTTATATTTTTCATTTATGAGATTAGAAACAAACCAAACTACGGTTATGTCTAAAACACTGAGCAAGCCACTGAGACACCACAGAAACGCTAGAAACCGATAATTCACCTCAGTCCCAACTAGCGACATCTGGTGAGCGGGAATATTACTATCCTTCATCGATTCGAACATTTGTTCTAGGGCATGGGCTTCTTGTACGCGACCGGAATCGGCGTGAGCGTATCGCAAGCTCGTGCTCTGGTCCACTATACAATCGGAGCTATAGAAGGTAGCGACTACGCGCAGATGGCACTGGCATATCGGTACTGGTCCGAAGTCACCGTGCCCAGCTCGTGCCCTAAAGCGTTGCAGTTGTACATGAAAGTTGCAGCTAAAGGTAAGTTAGTTTATATTGCGTAATGAGGATATTTTTTACACTAGATATTGTAAACTGTAGCCGAATGTATGCTACTGTGTCACAGTTGTGGATTGTGCGGGCTGGTGGCCGCCACGGTAAACATGCCATGCAATTGTATTTTCTACCGACTTCAAAAATGAGGAGGTACTCAATTCAACTACGTTGTTTTATTATGTTTGTTACCTCATAACTGTTCTACGTGAACTGATTTCGATGATTCTTGTTTTTATTTGAAAACTGATGCTTCTCATGTGGCTCCATATAAATTTTATCAGGGTAAAGCAATACTTTTTTAGTTATGCTTTATTATATAATATATATATATATATATATATATATATATATATATATATATACCTAGTCAGGTCATAAATTCTGTCACATGTTTAATATAAAATAATTGAAACAAGTTTATTCATTATGTAACCATTTATATACCAAAATGAACTTAACAAAACAGATTCTTATGACACTAAAGTTTATTCAAAATGACCTCCGTGATTTTGAATACAGGCCTTCAATCTGCGCGGCCAGTCGTCTATCGCAGCACGAACGAGGTCCATGTCAATATCGGCGGCCGCCTTAATCAAGGATGTCTTGAGTGACTCCAAATTGGGATGAGGCTTTGAGCACGCCTTTTCCTCCAAATGTTGCCATATCTTGTAATCTAACGGATTCAAATCTGGACTGGAGGAGGGCCAGTCTTCGTGCCGGATGAAGTCGATTTCACGCGCCGCCAGCCAGTCTTGTGTGCTCTTCGCTCTATGAGCTGGCGCCGAATCTTGTTGAAATACCCAGTGCCTGTTATTGAACATGGTATAAGAAACAGGTTCCACTAGGTTCGTCAGGACTGTACTTTGATACACAACTGCATTCGTTTTTACACCTTTCTCACAAAAATGTACCTCTGTTAAACCCCAATAAGAAACTCCCAATCATACCATGAGCGAGGATGGAAAATGACCTCGTTGGACACGCGGAATACGGTTGCTCGCTTCTTCACTACTGTGTGCGTACACCTTATCATTTTGTTTGTTGTAGCTCTCTTCTACGGTAAAAAATTTTTCATCCGATAAAAGAATTTCGCGATATTTTTTTCCCGCGTACCGCTTCAACAAAGCGCGGCATCTCTTCAGTCTCAGGTCCATTAGACGAGCATTCAAACGATGTCCTGTTTTTCTTCGATATGCCCGAAGCCCTAAGTCTTCATTTAACACCCTTTTCACCGTGGTTCTGCTTAACCCCATCTGAAGGGCCAACAGTTTCTGCTTACGTTTGGGATTTCTTTGAATTCGCGCCTTCACAGCTTTTATCACTGCTGGAGTCCTAACAGACCGAGGGCGACCACTTCTTGACCTGTCATCTACACTAGAGTCTTCATTGTATCGTTTGATGGTACGATAAACGAATCTTTTGGTTATATTCAAATTTTTCAGTATGTCAAAAATTTGAATTGGCGCGCAACCGCAATGATGCAACGCAATAACTGCAACACGGTCTTCTTTAAGCGTCCACTCCATATTTAAAAATGAGTAAAATTCTAAAAAGTATAGTTTTATTTTCATGAACAATTCGAAATTCGAATTCAATAAACTTTTTTTTGGCCAGCATTCTAAAAGAAAAGTTTTTACTGTGTGACAATACTTATGACCTGACTAGGTATATATATATATATATTGAAGTCCGTTGTACAAAATTTTTAATTTTAAATTATTTGGGTTTTCAAATTAATTGTAGTAACAACCAATCAGAGATGGGAACAGTATTCCATGTGAGGCCGAACCTGCGCCTTGTAAAGTTTCAGGCGTTATGCCGGCATGAAATACTGTCCCGCTCTGCTGAGCACGCCAAGCTTTTTGGAGGCCAATTTGGCCTTCTCTTCCAAGTGACCACGAAACTGCACGTCACTCGATATGTCGACGCCGAGGATTCCGATACTGGCTGAGGCAACAAGGGGAGTGCCTTGAAACTGATGAGATACGACAAATGGGTTCTTTTTAGCGGTAAACGCTCAAACTTGTGTCTTCTGAGGATTAAACTGGACTAGATTTAGTCGCCCCTAATCCGAGACTTTGTTCAGCAAAGACTCTACTTCAGACACAAGTTTGTTCCAGTACTAGGCGACGTTTTCCCGAGAAATATTGGCACGGCCGATGTATAGAGCATCACCAGTGCTGTCATCCACATAGCAATGAAGGTTACCGGTATGCAACATATCATTGATATGCAGAAGAAACAGCTTTGGTGATAGCACGCAGCCTTGTGGAACACCAGCGTTAATAGGCTTGTAGTTGGAGCATGCACCGTCTACAAGGACCTTGACGCTCCGATCTGTAAGAAAGCTGGTGATCGAATTGCACAATTTCTCGGGAAGCCCATAGGAAGGGAGCTTCGAAAGAAGCGCTTTGTGCCAGACCCGATCGAAGGCCTTCGCAATGTGCAAACTAACGGCCAATGCTTCCCCCTTGGACTTGACTGCCTCCGCCCATCTATGAGTCAGGTAGACCAGAAGATCACCAGCTGATCGACCCCGACGAAAGCCGTATTGGCGGTCACTAATCAGCTGGTGATCCTCAAGGTACCGCATGAGCTGGCAGTTTATAACGGATTCCATCATTTTGGAGTACAAGGGGGTGATGGCGATAGGCCTGTAGTTGGACGGGTCTGAGCGAACGCCTTTTTTAGGGATCGGGCGGACAAAAGCTGTCTTCCATGATTTCGGGACTACGCCTAGGGAGTAGGAGTACTGGAAAATACGCGTTAGAACCGGTGCCAACTCTGGAGCACACGTCTTCAGCACAATTGGGGGGATTCCGTCAGGCCCACTCGTGGATGTCCAGGGAGAGGGGTGCTTTGTGAACCGAGCGCTGTGGGAACCACATATCTGGCATGGAACACTCACACCGCGGGATAGTCGGCGGTCTGTTCACCCCACCATCAAGAGTCAGATGGACAGGTCCGAACCTTCAAGACTGCCGAGGCGTTGAGAACAGATGTCCTCTCTGACGTATACGCAAACTCCAGCCCGAGGCACAAAGGAGTGCTCCAATTTGTACCCCGGGTAGGAGAGATACGAAGTATCAGCCGGAGAGGACACCTGCGTCTCGGTTAGAAAGAGCAAGGCCGGCTTCGCCGTCTCGTGATGGTAGTGGACGGAGCTTAGGTTCGAGTAAAGTCCCCTGATGTTGCAGAAATTCACGGATAGCGTGGCAGGGATCGCCTTGGTCTTGTTGCTCAGTTTGCCCCGAGCAGTTATTGTTTTGAGCGGAATTTTGCCTCCCCCCAGAATACGAGGAGTGGAGTAGCATGGTCGTGGATTCTTAGCGAGGGATTCTCGAGGGGTGCTGGTACCCTCCTGGGGTAGATATTGATTGAATTCCGCTACCATGTTGATGGGGGAGGAGGGCGGGGGGGAATTGGGCCTACAGCCTCCTGCACTCACCACACGAAACGCAGAAGCAGTGCTTCCACTTCACGCCGGTATTCTGTGATCTTGGTAACAACCCGGCTCGAACGGGCCCATACGTGCAACAGCAAAAGCCGCGTGGCTCTACCACCGTTAAAACGTTACGAGTATATCTCTATCCAAGCGACGACCATTTTAGCAGTTATTGACAGATCTATCAAAATCTTCAAGGAGGTACGTACGAAATCGGATGTGCTGGATACATTAAACGATTGTCTAAAATTTTCTAAGTCTCCATATACAACATAACTTACAGACTGACAAATTTTAATTTTATTTGTCTTATTTTCTGGGTAAGGTTATATCTATAGGTCACAAAATTAACCAGCGAAAATCAATTTATTACAGCCTACCAAAAATCCACTACTGAACATAGTTACCATGCTTGCTACCAGTGAGTGTGGCCAGTGATGACTTATGGATCTGAGACGTGGTCCTTCACTGGTGGACGTATGAGGAAGTTCAAGGTTGCTCAGTGAACTATGGAGAGGGTTATGCTCGGGGTTTCTCTGTGTGATAGACTTAAAAACGAGGATATCCCCAGTAGAACCAGAGTAACCGACATAGCCCAAAGGATTAGTAAGCTGAAGTGGCAGTGGGCCGGCCATATAGCTCGAAGAACCGACAACCGATGGGGATGAAAGGTTCTCGAGCGGCAGACTCGTACCGGCAGGCGAAGTGTGGGGTGTCACCCCACTAAATGGAGTGACGACCTGGTAAGATATGCGGGAAGTCGATGGATGCAAGTGACTCAGGACCGTGCTTTCTGGCATTCCTTTGGGGAGATCTATGTACAACAGTGAACTTGTGAAGGGCTGTTATGATGGTGATTATGATGATGATGATAATGATGATACCGTGTTTAGCACGCCGGTCGGCACTGTCGGGTAGTTGATTTTCTTAATCTGCCATTGTTTGCCTACTAGCAATGATGATGAAAATGATTTAATTTGTTGTTATTAGTGGCGAGCAAGGTGACTCTGAGCGGGGGGCCCGCGATCCAGCGCACGAGGCTAATGGACGAGGCAGAGGGCGGCGGAGCCCTGGACAGCGACCTCATCGAGTACTACCAGCTGCTGGCCGACAAGGGCGACGTCCAGGCCCAGGTGTGTACCCACAGCTGCACCACCGTATGTTAATACAGCGCACTCGGCTGCTGCACAGCACACAGCATAGTGATCTCATCGTACTACCAGATTTTGGCCAATAATAGGTTTCCCCCAAAGAATTCCACAAAGTACGGTTCTGAGCCGTTCATTGATTTCCTGCATGTCTTGCCAGATCATCACTCCATTTAGTAGGGGGCAGCCACACACTTCGTTTACCGGCACGAGTCTTCCATTCGAGAACCTTTTATTCCCATCGTTTGTCGTTTCTTCCTGTTATATGGCCGGCTCTTTGCCACTTCAACTTATTGATCATACATTAGTAGATTGCTCTAGTTTTACTACAAATATCTCCATACCGCGGTATATTTGAAATATACTAATATAATATTCTATTTACGTTCTCCTTCATTAGCCCGTAAATGTCCGCTGATTGTCTTGGACCTCTTTTATTGTAGAGGGTATTCGCTTTGTTCGACACGCCAGGCAGGTGAATAGACGGACGGACGCTTGGCATCTATCACGCTGCTGTCCGTCGCTAGTTTGGGGTATTGTACGTCTGGCGTAAACGAAGTGATCACACCGCCATCTATCGGAAGGAATAAAAACTTACTGGCATTTTCCATAGTTGCTGTGTCGATGCTATTACGAACCATCGACAGCTAAGTAAGCGTTGAGCAAGGATGGTCCCGGTTTTGCTCACGTGGCGGTTCACAGGCATCATAATGGACTAACTTGCTTTCTATGGCGAAGCGACGCTATCCTCGAGTAGGGTTTGGGTCCCGGGACGTCTCGTGTCTCGAAGTCCCGGGACTTTTCGTAATTTTAGTTGTCTCGAGTTCCGGGACTTTCGGGTCGAGACTCGAGACGAGACAAGATTGTCGAAATTGTTATGTAATCATTTTTATTTTCAAATAATTGAAGGAGCCTAGCGCCATGTGTTAGTTTATGAATAATTACTTGGTCTACCACGTAACTACTGTACGCAATACAATAAATTATACAAATATGTGATTATGACAATAAGCAATGAGATTATGAACAATGGTTAGATACTAGAATTACTAGATAATATAAAGATTAGATGAAGTTATTAAGAATTAGTATGATTTTTAACTATAAGATTTAACTGTTTAGAAGTGCATCTGTGTGTGACTAAAAGAAATAAACAAAGCAATTATTAAGACAGAAATTAACGTTAAAGTTATTTAATTTTCTGTTTAATTAATGATTTCTCATATTTACGCGAACACTACACATTGAATAAAACTATTTTTTACAGATTTAAAAGGCTTTAGCACCATAGACCACTTACATACCCTTCAGCAAATTGTACAGAAGTTCGAGGAGCACAATTTGCCAGTATGTCTGGCGTATGTGGACTATGAGAAAGCCTTTGATTCCGTCAAAATTTGGGCGGGCTCAGTCCCTTCCGCAGTGCCAATTTGACTGTCGGTATATCGAAGTGCAGAAGTGCTTGTACAGTAGGGCTACGATGGCTATCTGAGTACAGAACCAGAGCGCGAAACCTATCCAATTGCAGAGAGGTGTAAGACAGGGTGACGTTATATCCCCGAAACTCTTCACCGCTGCATTGGAAGATGTTTTCAAGCTTCTGGACTGGAAAGGATACAGTATCAACATCAATGGCGAGTACATCACTCACCTTTGATTTGCCGACGATATAGTCCTTATGGCAGAATCACTGGAGGATCTAAGCACTATGCTCAACCTGACTCAATAGTGTTTACCAACGGATAGGTCTTAAGATGAACATGGACAAAACAAAGATCATGTTTAATGTCCATGTCACACCTATGCCGGTAGTTGTTGGGAGCACTAAGCTCGAAGTTGTTGAAGAGTATGTTTACCTGGGACAAATAGTCCGACTAGGTAAGTCCAACTTCGACTGAGAGGTCAATCGACGGATTCAACTCGGCTGGGCAGCGTTCGGGAAATTACGGCACATCTTCTCGTCAGGTATACCTCAAAACTTGAAAACAAGACTGTACAACCAGTGCGTGTTGCCAGTGACGACCTATGGTACTGAGACGTGGTCCTTCACTGCTGGCCGGATGAGGAAGCTCAAGGTCACTCAAAGAGCTATGGAGAGGGCTATGCTCGGAGTTTCTCTGCGTGATAAACTTAGAAATTAGGATATCCGCAGTAGAACCAGAGTGACTGACATAGCCTAACGGATTAGTAAGCTGAAGTGGCAATGGGCCGGCCATATAGCTCGAAGAACCGACAGCCGATGGGGAAAAAAGCTTCTCGAGTGGCGGCCTCGTACCGGCGGACGAAGTGTAGGGCGTCCCCCCACTAGATGGAGTGACGACCTGGTAAGATATGCAGGAAGTCGATGTATGCAGGTGGCTCAGGACCGTGCTTTGTGGCATTCCTTGGGGGGCCTATGTTCAGCAGTGGACTTGTGAAGGGCTGTAATGATGATGATGATGATTTACGGATTTTATCGTGTTTAATTTACTATTTTAATTACCGACGTTTTGGCTGTACTACCCTATGTGAGAGGAGTCACAGACAAGGTTGGCTACATCTTGAAGCGAGCTTCTATTAAAACATACTTCAAGCCGCCGAAGAAGATTAGTCAGTTTTTACCATCCGTCAAGTGTAATATTCCTCTACAAGTTGCAGGATTGTACAAGCTTGATTGCGAATGTAGTCGCAAAAGAACACCGATTCCTACCAAGAATGATACGCGAGGCTATTGAAATTAAAAAACATCCTAATTTCAATAGAGAAGATGGATGGGTGCTGCCATCTGCTAGGGAGACTTCAAGATACTGTAAGCTCATTCTGCGTAAATCGAACCAAAAATATTAAAAAACTGAAGGTAGCCAGGCTAACTGTGACATCAGGACGTCAAACATCTCAGTCCCCCCAAGAACTAAAATAGTAAATTAAACTCGATAAAATCCGTAAAAAATAGTTTTATTCAATTTCTGTTTAATTGTTTAATAAATGTTGATTTTTACATAAAATTGCCTCCTTTTAATACATTTTACCACATCATCATCATTATCATTACAGCCCTTCACAAGTCCACTGCTGAACATAGGCCTCCCCCAAAGAATGCCACAAAACACGGTCCTGAGCCACCTGCATCCATCGACTTCCTGCATGTCTTACCAGGTCGTCACTCCATCTCGTGGGGGGACGCCCTACACTTCGCCTACCGGTACGAGGCTGCCACTCGAGAACCTTTCTTCCCCATCGGTTGTCGGTTCTTCGAGCTATATGGCCGGCCCACTGCCACTTCAGCTTACTAATCCGTTGGGCTATGTCGGTCACTCTGGTTCTACTGCGGATATCCTCATTCCTAAGTTTATCACGCAGAGAAACTCCGAGCATAGCCCTCTCCATAGCTCGCTGAGCGACCTTGAGCTTCCTCATACGGCCAGCAGTGAAGGACCACGTTTCAGTTCCGTAAGTCATCACTGGCAACACGCACTGGTTGTACAATTTCGTTTTAAGGTTTTGAGGTATGTCTGACGAGAAGATGTGTCGTAGCTTCCCGAACGCTGCCCAGCCGAGTTGAATCCGTCGATTGACCTCTCGGTCGAAGTTGGACTTACCCAGTCGGACTATTTGTCCCAGGTAAACATACTCGTCAACAACTTCGAGCTTAGTGTTCCCAACAACTACCGGCATAAGTGTGACATGGACATTAAACATGATCTTAGTTTTGTCCATGTTCATCTTAAGACCTATCCGTTGGGAAACACTATTGAGGTCATTGAGCATAGTGCTTAGGTCCTCCAGCGATTCTGCCATAAGGACTATATCGTCGGCAAATCGAAGGTGAGTGATGTACTCGCCATTGATGTTGATACCGTATCCTTTCCAGTCCAGAAGCTTGAAAACGTCTTCCAATGCAGCGGTGAAGAGTTTCGGGGATATGACGTCACCCTGTCTTACACCTCTCTGCAATTGGATAGGTTTCGTACTCTGGTTCTGTACTCGGATAGCCATCGTAGCCCTACTGTACAAGCACTTCAACACTTCGATATACCGACAGTCAACTTGGCATCGCTGAAGGGACTGCAGCACCGCCCAAATTTCGACGGAATCAAAGGCTTTCTCATAGTCCACATACGCCAGACATAGTGGCAAATTGTACTCTTCGGACTTCTGTACAACTTGCCGAAGGGTATGTATGTGGTCTATGGTGCTAAAGCCCTTTCGGAAACCGGCTTGTTCGGGAGGCTGGAAGTCGTCAAGTCTGCGCGCGAGACGATTCGTAATGACTCTCGAAAACAGCACGTAGACGCGGCTCAGAAGGGAAATCGGTCTGTAGTTTTTCAAGAGAGCGTTGTCACCTTTCTTGAAGAACAAGACCACCGCACTTCTGCTCTACGCCTCCGGTGTAATGCCACCATGGAGGACGGAATTAAAGAGCTTCTGAAGGACTTCAAGTACCGGTCTTCCACCCGCTTTCAGAAGCTCCGCTGTAATTCCATCCTCGCCTGGGGCCTTACCGTTTTTAAGGTGCTGGAGAGCCATCCTAATCTCGCTCAGACTGACATCCGGGATATCTTCGGAATAGTGTCGGATGAGACTCGCTCTTGGATCGTTACTCACACTTGCGTGTGGCTCCAACGATGATGTGTACAGCTGCCCATAGAACCTCTCAATCTCACTCAAAATCTCAGGTGTCCCGGAAACGATGCTGCCACATTCTGTCTTCAGCTTTGACAGTTGGCTCTTTCTGGCAGACAGATCTCTGGCAAAGACTTTGGAGCCTTGGTTCCGCTCGATCGCTTCTTCAATACGAGCTGTATTGAAGTTGCGTAAGTCCCGCCGCATGCATTTGGAGATCTGTCTGTTCAGATGCCTGTATGCTGTCAAGTCTGTTGAAGAATGTAGCTTCATCTCCCGTCTAACAGCCATGAGATTAAGAGTGTGATCGGAGAGTTTTTGTGTTCTTCTGCGGCGGGTCTTGCAGAACTTAGCTCCAACCGCATGGACAGTTTCCACGAGCTTGTCATTCATATCGTCCACTTCATTGCAGTCTTCCAGGCACTGAAAACGGTTTTGTAACTCGAGCTGAAAGGTTTCGGGACTTTGGAACAGAGCACGAGGGGGACGGAGCGTTGACTTCATTAGACGAGACCTCTCCAATTTAACGTTTAGGTTCAGTGTGCCTCTAACCATTCGGTGATCGCTACCAGTTTTCACCCTCGCAATCACGGAGACATCACTGAACAGTTGTCGTCTGGTCGTCATAATGAAGTCAATCTCATTTTTGTCGAACCGTCTGGGCTCGACCAGGTCCACTTCCTGTGGGGCCGCTTCTGGAAGAAAGAGTTCATCATAAAGAGTCCCTCTTTCTCCATGAAGTCGGCCAGCTGCTGGCCCCTTGGGTTCCGTTGCCCTATTCCAAATTTCCCTACTTTTAGCTCACCGTTTTCTCTTGTGCCTAGTTTTGCATTGAAGTCTCCCATTAACACCGTATATTGGGTTTTGGAGGAATGCATGGCTCTAGAGATATCCTCATACATTTCCTCCACCTCCTCATCGGGGTGTGCCGAGGTTGGTGCGTAAACCTGTATGACCTTCAGCGAATACCGTTTGGTGATTCTGAGTATAAGGTACGCAACCCTCGTCGACACACTCCCAATTTTTACAACGTTGTTAACGAGAGACTTGTGGACGATAAATCCGACACCTCCTTGGGACAGATGGTCGCCCTCCCGGTGATAGAGCAAGTTGCCGGATTCGAGGATTACCGTGTCCTCCCCCTCTCTTCGGACTTCGGATAATCCTATAATATGCCAGCACAACTTGTCTATCTCTTCTTCCAGCTCCACGATCTTCTCGTCAGTCCTCAGGGTGCGTGCGTTGTACGTTGCCAGGTCGAGTCGTCTAAGGTGGCAACCGAACCTCCACCGGAGATTCTTGGCACCCCCTGCCCCGCCGTTACCATGGTCGCCACCGTAGCCAGGAATAGCGGGGCCGCCGGGGACTGGGGGCCGTTTTTTTGTTGCTCTCATCATTGGGGGGTATTTGCCATAGTTGCCACGCTTGGCGAGCGGGTTGGCAACCGCAGTTTTTTTATTGTAATTTGGCTATTCTTTTATCAGGAAGATGCTGCTGCCCATCTACTGGCTGTTTCCCTTTGTCGCCTTTTACGACACCCACGGGAGGATATGGGGTAGTGGATATTCTTGACCGCCACTACACGGAATTTTAATTGAGTTAATTTTACCACAAATTAACTCAATTAAAATTCTTCATAAAAGGCTTACCCATCTTAAAAAACAAAAAAAGTTTTTTCTAAAAAGTCTCGAAGTCCCGGGAATTCCCGGCACTTTGATTATAGGCTGTCCCTTGTCCCGGGACTTTGAAATTGTCGGGAATTCCCAAACCATATCCCCGAGCCACCCCTGGTCGAAGGTTATCTGTTGCTATCCTTGTAATCTTCATCAACATATTGGTTATAAATTGTAAATATGTTTTAGTGCACACTATACAACTGAATGTTTTGTATATTAGCACAGAATCATCCGAACAACCATTTAAGGGTATAAATTAAAATCTACAGCGCGTACGCCGAACTTTTCGAACACACCGTACGAGTGCGACGCTGAACCACACAGTAAATTTCGAGATCGAATCATGAGATGTCGCCAGTACTGTGCCACAGACAATGCGAAGCAAATTATAATGTTTATTGTATATTATCAATTATTTCCTATAAGTAGTTGACTGTGTTGTATTTGTATAAAAACTATTATTCCATGAATGATTAATAGTGTGTATTCTCTAGGTGGGTCTAGGCCAATTGCACTTCCAAGGCGGGCGAGGTGTGACCCTCGATATCAGCAAAGCCCTGCACTACTTCCAGCAGGCCGCCAAGGCTGGCAATGCTGTCGCTAACGCATTCCTCGGAAAGGTAAACCATAAATATTAGTTAATATTATCGTTACTTTCTACCTACCTATCTACCTTTCCCCTTCCTTTTAAACCATAAATATTAATTAATATTAGTGGTGCTCCTACTGTTTCTATTGTTTGTGTTTGGTGCAGCCAGATTAAATGCAAATTTTAGTTTGTTAACATCATTTCTAACGCTTGAATAGGACCATAGACAATTTTAGCAAAAGTGAATTTAATGCCTTTACTTTACAGATATACCTAGAGGGCGGCGATGGCATTAAGCCAGATAACGAGACAGCGCTTCGTTACTTTAAGAAGGCAGCGGAGCTCAACAACCCCGTCGGCCAGAGCGGACTTGGCATCATGTACCTTCAGGTATGATGCATTTGATTTTTTAAAACTGCTGTCGAAACTATTCATAAGTAAGTTAGAATGAAAAATAACCGACCAAGTGCGAGACGGACTCGCGCATGAAGGGTTCCGTACCATCGTAATACACGTTTCTAGTAGGGGAGCCCCCTTTTAATTTTTAATTTATTTTTATTATTTGTTGTTATACAGAAATACACATTCTGTATGCATTTCAACTGTGTACCTATTACGGAGCATAAGATCGTAAGACGGACGGACAGCGGAGGCTTGGTAATAGGGTCCCGTTGGTTGTCCTTCGGGTACGGAACCCTAAAAAAGAAGAATGTAGCCTGCATTCTTGACTCTTAATTTCATTGTATAAAGTAAATATTTCTTATACATTCTAAATATAACAGTTGGTATCTTTGTTTTTCAAATTTGTTGATTTGTGAATAAATGGAGAAAACACACATTTATACGGAACAGTAATATTAATTATATGAAACCATTTTGCAATTTTTAGGGTCGAGGAGTACCCAAGGATACGACAGCAGCATTCAAATACTTTACTATGGCTGCCAATCAGGGCTGGGTCGAAGGACAACTGCATCTAGGATTTATGTATTTTGGTAAGTTATTTAATTTTTTTTAGTAATCATGCTTTTTTTTGTTTAACGAGTATTATATTGTACATTGTAGATTGTATAAATGACTTATATAAATATTTTAATTTTATAATTTTTGATATTAGTGCAATTGGCCAGTTACACTTTCATATTAATAATGATAACATTATTGCGAATTTGAGAGCTTTAAACACACTAGATCATATTTATTATGTATTTTATAACACGCAGATATCCATCGTTAATTGTTTGTATTGTAGTTATATTGTGGTGAGCAGTTAGTGTGATACAGATATAACTAAACATTTCCAAAATAGATATAACATTTCACATATGCCATGAATTTAAAAAGGAATAAAAGTGGTCGAAGTCAGAACATAGCCATTAAGTTTTTTTTTATAGGATCGGGTTACAAACGAGCACACAGTCCACCTGATGGTAAGTGGTTACTGTAACCCATAGACATCTGCATCTATCCTCAATAAAGACTCAAGATGCAGATGCGTTGTCACCCGTTAGAACTAAGATGGAATGCCTCTTGTCCAGTAAAAAGGGTCTCCGGTTCTCTACACTGACCATACGAAACACAGCAGCGTTAAGCTGCTATTTTATGCTGGTTTTCTGTGAGAGCGTGGTCCTTCCCCGTTCGAGCCGACCCATTCGTGCTACAACCATAATATAGCTGCAGCATGGCTCTACCACGTATACAAGTTGTTGTTATAGCAGCAACAGAAATACACATTCTGTGTAAATTTCAGTTGTATAAAATTCATGTTTGATATAGATATATGATAAATGTACAAAACCTCCTATATACTTCGATTAAAAGGTTTAAAGCCTCATATTTCTACAAGAGAATAAAGACGTCGAACAATCAAATGTGTAACTGGTATTAACAACAAAATTTTTCATATTATAAAATAGAGTAGAATAATTTTGTATTAAATATAGATTATAAATATTATTAAATCAAACTGAAGAATAATTATGACCGCTGAGAACAAAGTTGAAACGCCCTATACCAGTAAAAGGTTCTTCGGTTAAAGGCATGTACTCTTAATCTGGCCCATCTTTAATATATCTACAATTTGGCCGATAAACTCGTCTAGGGCGTCCCGTCACTCATGAGAATACTTTATAAATATGACGAAAAAACATTGTTAAAATCTATACAATACCGGGTGTTAGTGAAAAGCTCCCGAAAACGAAGACAGTCGATAGTACTAACGATACCTTTGATGATGGTCACGTTTTTTTTTTTTATTAACTTTACTCACTCTCCATCATGTTAGTACAGCTAAACGAAACGATAATTTTATAAAAAAAAAAACATGAAAATACTTAAACATAAAACCAGCAGTGAAACTTAAAATAAAATTAGCTGACAATAGGGTCAATATTCTTGCGGACCCAAACTCTTATCTAACTCGGTGCGAAACAATGCCTACTCACTCTACCCTTCCCTTTCACACACGCGCTACCGCCGCCCGGCCGACTCGTGTCGCCTCGGGCTGTAGAATTTACACATGTCAGCTTTGCCGACATGTGGGGAATTCCCAAATTTGAGGGGAATTTAAAGTTGGTTGGGGATTTTATGGGGATTGGTATTATGCGGGGAAAATACGCAGATTTTGAAAATCGATAGCCAGGGCCAAGTCAGAACCTTTTTTCAAGAAATCTAAATACTTAACATTTTGCTAGGTTACTTATGAATATCGAATGAAAACTCCCTTTTTTTTTAATTATCTTCATTGCACCACATTTAATTTTCAGATTTATTTCGGCAAGTTTTGTGTAACATTTAATGCTATTAATTTTTTTATTTTAAAGAAAAATGTTAGTTAAAAAAGAAAACTTATAAAATTAGTTGAAAATTGTTTCATTTCTTAAAATAAAATTGTGGGAAATCTATTGAAGTTTTGTCCTTAAATTGGGGAATTTGACATGCATTTTCGGGGAACTTGACGCACAACAACGATGTTTATGTTGATAACGCTGCCATGTTGCACCGAAATTTACCTACTAAGATTTAGTTTGCCGGCGACATATGAATTAGAGGCGGCAATCACCATAAAACTTGCAACAAATTTTTAATAATTTTTGCGTACCTCTTTTTAAACTCAAAGTATTGGTCGGATTAAATCCGGTAAGTCAATTAAAATAAAGTAGAAGTATTATTTTTTAATATAATTGTGATAGATTAATCAACTGTCGATCATAATTGCAATTGATTTTAACTATTAAATTATTCAGTACCATTTCATTTCTATTTTCTTATACAAAATCAAAGATAACGATGAAATAGTGTTTATAATTGTGTAAGTGAGTACTGAGTACCCAGTGAGGTACGTTTATTAATTACAATATATTTTTTGTAGTAAATAACTGCTTGTTGCGTCAAAGTACAATGGATTGTGTAATTGTATTAAAAATAACAACCATAACTTCTAAATTCCATATGAAGACTAGTCGTATGGATAACTAAACTTATAAATAAAATAAACATTGGCAATGTCGTAACGGTTTAACGGTCTGTGGAATTGATCAGTGCTTCAAGGACGTTACGACGCACTAGGCATTTGTTACGGCGGGATTGATCATTCTTTTTAGTTTTTGAGACAGTTTCGTGTTGACTATCACGTGCGCGTGAGCGACAGTTCAATTGTTTTGCTTATTAAATTCTTGTTGTTACGTTTTGTGTTTCTCGTTTTGTTTTAGTAATGCTTAACGCGTAGGTCCGTTTATAGTGCTCGTGAATACGGCAACATGTTAATGTGCTTTGGAGAATCTCATAAGGCCACGGAAGATTTAGATCGGTAAGCTGTTTTATACCTAATTTTTTTTTAAATAATATACTACTGAACTTATCTAAATAGGTACATAACTGAATACATCAGAATAATAAACATACCTACACGATGGATAAAAAAGCATGTCTAATCTTGGTTTTTTTTATAGGAGAGGGGGCAAACGAGCATGCGGCTCACCTGATGGTAAGTGACTACCGCCGCCCATGAACAACTGCAACTTCAGGGGAACCAGGGGAATTACAGATGCGTTGCCGGCCTTTTAAAAAGGAGTACGCTCTTTTCTTGAAGGTCCCTAAGTCCGGAAAAATCGCTGATGGTAATCTATTCCACAAGGAAGTTGAGCGAGGAAGAAAACATCTCCTAAATCGCACAGTGGTGGACCGCCAATCATCCAGATGGTGTGGATGGTATAGGGAGTTCTGCCGCGATGTGCGTTCTTGAAATTTGGCGGCTAGGATTAATCCGAACAATTCCTCAGAGCACTCCCCGTGGTAAATGCGAAAGAAAATGCAAAGGGATGGAACATCTCTTCGCAGTGCCAATGAATCGAGCCGATCGGAAAGGACTCGGTCGTCGATGATTCAAGCCGCTCTGCGCTGGATGCGGTCAAGCGGAAGGAGCTGGCACTGGGGAGCCCCTGCCCAGAGATGGGAACAGTATTCCATGTGAGGCCGAACCTGCGCCTTGTAAAGTTGCAGGCGGTGTGCCGGCATGAAATACTGTCCCTCTCTGCTAAGCAAGCCAAGCTTTTTAGAGGCCAATTTGGCCTTCTCTTCCAAGTGACCACGAAACTGCACGTCACTCGATATGTCGACTCCGAGGATTCCGATACTGGCTGAGGCAAGAAGGGGAGTGCCTTGAAACTGAGGAGATACGACAAAGGGGTTCTTTTTAGCTGTAAACGCGCAAACTTGTGTCTTCTGAGGATTAAACTGGACTAGATTTAGTCGCTCCCAATCCGAGACTTTGTTCAGCAAAGACTCGACTTCAAACACAAGTTTGTTCCAGTACTTGGCGGCGTTTTCCCAAGAAATATTGGCACGGCCGGTGTATAGAGCATCACCAGTGCTGTCATCCGCATAGCAATGAATGTTACCAATTAGCAACATATCATTGATATGCAGAAGAAACGTGCGTTGGTGATAGCACGCAGCCTTGTGGAACACCAGCGTTAATAGGCTTGTAGTCGGAGCATGCACCGTCTACAACGACCTTGACGCTCCGATCTGCAAGAAAGCTGGTGATCCAATTGCACAATTTCTCGGGAAGCCCATAGGAAGGGAGTTTCGAAAGAAGCGCTTTGTGCCAAACCCGATCGAAGGCCTTCGCAATGTGCAAACTAACGGCCAATGCTTCCCCCTTGGACTTTACTGCCTCCGCCCATCTATGAGTCAGGAAGACCAGAAGATCACCAGCTGATCGACCCCGACGAAAACCGTATTGGCGGTCACTAATCAGCTGGTGATCCTCAAGGTACCGCATAAGCGGTTAATAAGCAGTTAATAACGGATTCCATTATTTTGGAGAACAAGGAGGTGATGGCAATAGGCCTGTAGTTGGACGGGTCTGAGCGGTCGGCCTTTTTTAGGGATCGGGTGGACAAAAGCTGCCTTCCATGCTTTCGGGACTACGCCTAGGGAGTAGGAGTACCGAAAAAGACGCGTTAGAACCCGTGCCAACTCCGGAGCACACGTCCTCAGCACAAGAGGAGTGTTTTGCGAACCAAGCGCTGTGAGAACAGCACGTCCGGCATGGAGCACTCATACCGTGGGATGGTCGGCGGTGTTTTCCCCCCGTCATCAAGAGTCGAGTTGGAGGCAAAAAGGGAGCCGAAAAGGTAGGCTTTGTCTTTTGCGGCTTGGGCCAGTGAGTCGTCCTCCCTGTGCAGGATGGTAGTGATGGCTTACAGAAATTCCCTTGGACATCCTTGGCGAGACACCAGAATGCACGGGTTCCCGAAGGAAGGCGAACTAGTTTCTCGCCAATTCTGCCTATGTGCTCTGACTTTGACTTGGCAATAACTCTTTTGAAGGACCTTGAGGCGAAGTTATACTTTTTTTAAGTGTGCTGGTGTTTACATCCCGAGTTGCCGAAGCCGCAGCCCAGGCTTGATAACACTCCTGCTTACTGCGTAATGCAGTCTTACAGGGGCGACCAAACCAAGGCTGAGATCTGCCTCTGATGGGTACCACA